AAACAAACAAAAGTGTTTAGTCCGAACACTCATCACGATAACATTATGATACAACACCGAATAATTCGCAATACTACTAGTACAACAATAGTCGGAGGTACTCATTACAACAACATTGAATTGAAATTACACGATAGAAGTATTTAGTCCGAACACTCATTACATCACAACAACATTTTATTTCCTAAATCGAAAGCATTGTTACACCATGGAATCGCCTGCTGCGCGACGACGCCTTGGCCTTGCGCGCCTGCTTGTTGTGAAAAAGGCTCTTTGCAGCACACTCTTTATTCGATCATCAACCGATGTAAATGTATGTAGGTCATAGTACGTATTATTATTCCTCTGGGCAATGGTGGCTAACAAACGAGGCAAATTATCATAAGAAGCTTCAAATGTGCCATACCTCATCTCAATGATCTTTTGTTTGGCTCTCCAGGCCTTTGCATAGCTTATGGTGTACTTGAATTTGTTCTCGATGTGCCTAATAATTGATTTTGGTTCAAAGCCAATGTTACCAACAACACTGCTGTACATCTCACTTGCCACAAAAGCTGAAGTGATGTTTCGGTGATACTTCTCCACCCCTTGTAAGTAGCACTTGTGCTCGGTCACAATGCTAACTTTCCAATAATCATTCCATTTACCCTTATATGCATGGACACGCCACGGACAATCTTCCTTCATGCACCTCACTTCATACACATAATTTGTTGACTTGACCACCCTAAACTCTCTCTGCAAGGAAACTGCCCAATGCTTCACCGCCTCCTTCATCTCATCCTTATGAGCATATCTTGCACCCTCAATTACCTCGTTCTCCTTATACTCCCAGGGTACATGATCACCCTCTGATATAACAAGTCCAGAGAAGTCCTCATTTGCCCAATCAGTGGCCATTACATCACCTTCCTCATCGGATGATGCGTCGTCGTCCACTTCCTCATTATCCGAATCTTCCCTCTCCATTTCATCAACAATTATACCGACTCTCTCCCCCTCATCCGCCATGCCCATAGCCTGCTCCTCCCTTGGTTGATTTTCCTCATTTTGCATCGATGGTCCAACAACATCCCCTGCATTGATAGGACCCTCTACATCTTCGGTTTGCATTGAAACATTTATATCTTTCTCTTGTACCGACACAAATATAACGAGGGGCCATGACCGTTCAAAAGCCATTTCCACATACCGTCTCCAAGCATCAGTGCTGTCCATCGGCATTAGTTCCCAAAAATAACCTTCTGTTGCACGACTCACTACAACTGACACTGACATTGTGTAGACTTCTTGGTCTATTCTAAATCCTCTCAACAACCAACTATAAATTGACTGAAATGTTCTCTCCGCAGGCCTATCGATGCCCTTAGATGTCATTACAAAATCTGACAGATCAACACCATCTGGACCAAATCTAATATTTCCTTCACCGTGAACTATCTGAAATGTGACCTTACTTGACATTGTGCCTGATGAAAACAATAACTGCGTTAACCTCGCATTTCTGTACTACGCCCTAAGTTACATTCTCTACAATATTGTTCTCTAAATTTCTAAAATTACGTTACATTCTCCAGATCAAACTAAACTACATCTTACAATTAACACTACTGTCTATGTCTCAATTCATACTATTATATTCTATGCTCTGGATCTACACATATGTGCTGTGTGCTACAGATGTGCTAAAATATATGGAACTAAAACTAAAACGCAACATATATACTCAAACATAACATATTAGTACAAATGCAAAAGATGTATGGGAGCATACCTGTGATGAATTGAGCGAACCAGCAGGGCTTCGCCGCTCCCCTTCTGCTGCCCTCCCCTCTCTCTCTTTTGTTTTTTTTGGATTTTTAGTGAATATAATGAAATTTCACAGAGGAGGGACTGGGCTTTATAGGGGGAGAGGCAAAAATCGCCCTCCCCCAGGGCGGCAAGGGGGCCGCCTGCAAAATTCCATGCCTCCTCGCCGCCCATTTGCAGGCGGCCCCCCCCACAGTACAAAATCGCCCTAGCGAAGGGCGGCAAGGGGCCCGCCTGCAAAATTCCATGCCCCCCTCGCCGCCAATTTGCAGGCGGCCCCCCGCACAGTATAAAATCGCCCTAGCGGAGGGCGGCAAGGGGGCCGCCTGCAAATTTCGTTGACGGCCGTCGCCCGAGAGCGAACGGCCGTCTGCCACGTCATTTTCGCCGCCCTCTGAGAGGGCGATTTTTAAAAATCGCCCTCCCAGAGGGCGGTAGGCGACTCCTTCCGTCAATTTTCAAAATGGAAAATTATTTTTGTAAAACTTTTAATAAAAAAAATTATAAATAAAAAAAATTCGAGAGAGGAAGCCGGCACGGGGAAGTGAAACAGACCTCGCGGTCGAGCGGCCGGTACGGAGAGGAGCCTAGGGGCCGGCCCGAGAGGGAGGGGAAGGAGGGAAGGCCGAGCGGCCGCGGGGAGCGGAAACGACCTTCGGGCTGGAAGCGGTCCATAGTGAAGGAGGGGATTTTAATTTAAAAAGGGAGTACCTATACATCTTTTGAAAGATTTTTATTATTGTATCACACAGATTTTTAATCTTTAGATTAAAATCTGATAGACACAGTAAAAGTCAAAAAGCAACTAAGAAACACCATAATGGACACTAAATTACCATATCTTCAAGAAAAAAACCAAATCCAATATAAATTTTAAAACTTACATGCGAAGATTCAAAAGTTACAATGTAAGTTTCATAAATTACACTATAACTTACAAGAAAATGCATTGTAAATTTAAGTGAGAAAATCGAGTGAGAGATAAGAAAAAATCTTTCGAGTGAGATATAGCAAAATCGTTAAATAAATTGAATAGATAAACTTTGTGTTTTTAAAATTACTTCTTGAGCTTTGCAAATTTATGGTAATTTTTGAAAATTATTTTAGGGCATTGAGAATATTAAAAAAATATTTCCATCCATGACTTTTGTCGGTGATATGGACCCGGGGTAGCATGCTTAAAGGGGAGAGGTCGCCCCTAACGTCCACGTGGCGTTTCCCCCGAGGGGGTCGGGCCCGTGGATGGGTGACAGCCGCCCCTCTCTAGCCCGAGGGCTCGGGCTGCCCTGACCCCTTGGGACGGTCACCACGTGGCCGTCATGCAAGTGAGGTTGGGTGGACGCCAACCAGCGCCCACTTGACCGCATTTAATGAGGCTAGAGCAGGCGCGCCACGCCGCGGCGTGCTAAACGCCTGACTAGCTCATGACCGGTGCGTGACCGGTCGAATGACAGATGGGACGGCGGAAAGGCAGGCATGCTCTGGCCAGGTGTTAGGCGGCGTGCGCCATGTATGCCCTGCGCCCATCGCGATGATGAGAGGCGCTGCGCCTCTCAACCGTCTGGAGTCAGCTTGACCGCTCTAGACATGCCCCAGATCATGTTCCCGGCGCATGCGCGCCCCCAAGTCCGCCTCTATTAAATGATGGATGACGGGGATCCTCCCCGTGTCGGCCTATGTCAGTCGGCATGATTTGATAGGCCCCGCACAACAATCGATGTACAAACGACTTTCGGGTTGGGGCACCAGGCATACATTTAATGGAGAGTATTTTTCCCTCTTCACTAGTAGCACTCCTAACGCATGTGGAAACCTCTTGTAGTATAAAAGGAGGTCCAGGCCTAGTGAGAAGGGGATCGATCAATCGATAAGTGGAACGCTTAGCCCTAACTTGTGCACCAGAGATTCAGAGACTTTGTAGGCTTAGAAAAATCATCATACACAGGAATAGGGTATTACACTTCTTAGCGGCCCGAACCTGGATAACCCCCAAGCATCTCATCTCCATCGGGGGCCCAACCCCCTCTCTCCCTCTTAATCCTTACAGATCCTCGATTTTCACTTGTTGCCTCTCGCCAAACTAAAAAAAGGAGGGCCTCACAGTCCCCCACTCGAGAAGATCATCCTCCGACAACTTTTAAAGGAAAATTTTAATTCCCTCATTAATTCACTTGATTAAATTGCTTTAACTTTTAATATAAATTCTAGAAAAATGATTTATTTAATTATTTTTAATCCCGAACAACAATCAGAGCGTGACAATTCCCATCCCAATCCCCATCCCACCTAAACTCTCACGTCTCATAACAAAACAGAACAGTTAATAGCCTCATCGCTCTAAACTCCCGATATATGTAATAGTATAAGGTGACAATTGTTTTAAAATCAAATTTAAATTTATATAAATATAGCTCTTTTTTGGACGGATGTAGTATCATATACTCCATGTCTTAGGTGTATTTCCCTTATCCTAAGGTCTCATTTAGAAGTCAACCATTGGAGTGTTATGCAGACATACCGTTGCCCAGATAAGATGTTATATTTTAGGGAGGTGGAAACAAGTTTGTGCTCTTTCTTTCAGCTTCAAACAACAAATTCCTCCTGTTTTTTTTTTAAAAAACACGCTTCTCGATCTATTAAATGTGCATTTTGTGTGAAAATTTTTTATATAAAAGTTTATTAAAGATCAAATAAATTCATTTATCAAATTTATAGTTCATACATACATACATAGTTAATCAATTATTAATGACTTGTTTTCAAACGTTTTGGTTTTCAGATAAGTAGAACGGGCCCTAAGTAATAGGGAAGTGGTGATAAGCATTGTATACCATTCAAAGATACGGGAAAAGTAAGTGGATATTTTTATTAAAAAACAGCTGTTTGAAATCTAGAAAGTCCTTATCCTTTTATAACAACATAATATTTAAAGTACATTTTACCTCTCGATTACTGTATTTTCAATAATACACCCGTTAATCTATTACATGGAACACCCCTCAACTATATTACCGTTCACTATTAGACAAACAAAATAGTTAAGAGTTTAAACTTACTGCTAAAAAATTATAATGGTCAAAAAATAGAAATTGATAATGGAAACTCATAAATGATGAAGGAAAAAAAATTTAAGGGAGCAAGGGACTTTTACTATTTCCGAATTAAAATAAACATGTGATATACAACGAATGTGAATGCCACATCTAATCATGCGACAAACAAGTACTTTCCTCCGTCTCATAAAAAAAATCAACCACATTATAATATAACTAGTTAGCGTGCACGTGCCTTGCACGTCAACATACATTGAATGGAGTAAAAGAAATACATCATTCGCTTAAATCAGTTGAGTTAAAAGTTCTTGTACATCATGCCCAAAGAAGCTACACCATTACATTCTCTTCTAACAATCTTCTTTATTCGAAACGCCGAGACAATAGCCAACATCAACTTTGCATCATGGAATATATGACACAGCCGAGATTTGTCTCCCTGTAGCATCCAATCCTAATGCTATGGAATACATTTCATCATGGAATACATTATTAAAGCTCACGCTCACATGTACCGATGAAAATGGAAGTTCTATAAGTACGTACTACCTTTAATAAGATTACTGTGACCTTGGCTCCTCCACCAGTTTGGTTGAATAATAAAAGCATCAACAGATAGCCAATCAATGGTAAATAAAATAATAGAATTTCTTCGACCACCTTATAGCGCTTGTTCAAAACCGAAGGCAACCTAACAGATGATCTATTGCTCTTCATTCCGTTTATTTACAGCTTGTAAGCTTGTACACTTCCTGACGGTTTTTTAGCATGCCTATATGGCAACCTGCAAACATAAGACGAAAAAGAACTGTTAGTGGCACAAAATTAGATATACTTTTGATTCATAAAGTTTGCAACTTTTTGTGTTTTTTACGTAGTGTACTTTTATACATGTAAGCTTTGGGATAGTGGCTCAAGAGCAAGAAATGTGCAAATCTAGAACATGCAAACTGGATTCCCCAATATGTGCTCAGCAAATTTGGAAATAACGTAGGCTAAGCAGTATTCAGTTCAGATAGATTGTTAAATTGCGAATCCATGCAATTAATATTTAGACTAAAGAATTCCGATGTGTATAGACTAATCTGATGTGTATGGACAACTGCAATACATGATGACGATGCATATTTTAAGACCATTCCAACATTAACTTCATAAACATTACGTTTGACAATTTTCAAACTGTACTTTTAGTCAAAAGCATGTCATAGCTCATATTTGATAAACAAAATGGTAAATCACTTGTAAGCAACAAATCAAATCATGCTCGAACCATCTACATATTATGCTAAAAACTCAAAGTTACTTTGTATAATGCAATAAATTATCGATGTGCTGCAATAATTTATCAAACACATGGTCAATTAAGAATCTTTCATTGATGAATTTTAACATCTGGTGGGCAGCCATTTATAGGAATCATCGAATCAAATTCCTTTTGCATGGAGGCTGTAGGCATATCTATAACCTATTATATACTGCCAAAAGATATTGGTGGCATAATTTTGTAACACACAATACATGATAGTTCCAGCAACAAACAAAATGACTGTTTGATATAAACATGCTTGCTCAATAACCATCTAATAGGATAGCCTATTTGATCTACATCTGAAATAGGAGATGGAAAAAGGATAAAGGATTACTATCCTGATGCATAAGCAGAAAAATCAAAAGCTTTATAATATGCAGACTGACATATCTATCCATTCAATTCAAGCTTCTATTATATATAGAAACAACAATTTGACTAATATGATTTGCCAAAATCAGCAATCAAAGATAACGATGTAGACACATGGAGACAAAACGATAGGACTTTTCCCTCTTATGCCTCTGTCCTGCTATGCTTCGAGTAACTCTGTTCACAACCTACCAAGCAACATACTTGAATAGTTGCTATATAGGTTACTTTGAATAAATGCACATTTGTATGGAAACAAAATGGCAGCTTTTGATCAGGTGGCAAATGAAAATCCATAAGAAAGAGCTCTCATCACCTCCTGATATTGCCGTGTACTATGAGAGTCAGCAACATCGGCAGCATATGTTTACACATAAATGACAAAGGAAAAGAAATAAGTGCCACATGATAGTAACTGACAGCTATGCAACTAATGTAAAACTTGCTGATGGATCAACAGAGGTTTGCTGGTGGCCCCGACGGTGCGTATTAGGAAGCAGTGTACCATTAGACATAGACATCAACTAAGCAGGACAATGATAGCAAGAAAAAGAAGTTATAGAAAAATCAAATTTGATCAGCTTGGATTTTTTTTCGTTTTTTCCATTCTACCTAGATAATGCAGGTGTAGGGCTGGAAAACATGGTTTTTCAACAGTGAAATCATGATCTGGGCAATGGGGAAAGCAAGCCTTACAAATCCTAAAAAGCAGAGTAGCAGAGGGTTACGTAACCTGTATGTATATTCAAAGGTTAAAAAATATTCAGAAATATAATTGTTGTTGACAAACACAGGTTAGCATTAACGGTACCTATTCTTGATTAAATTCTCAAAGTTACCCAAAGTTGTTGTATTCATGAAATTGGGATTTGTAGTATGTAATGTATGAGTTTCTTCATTGCTACTTTGGGGTTACCGGCATGCAACATACTATTATGCCCTGAAAATTTCAGGTTTTCAGTTAGCCCTATAGTTGTCATGCTCAACATAGTTTTATCCAGTTAAGACTGAGTTATTACCATTGGCTGAATTCGTCAAGAAATATATGGATAGCTATACTTATCGGGCTTTCTCATAGCATGTGCAGTAAACCAGAATATGAAAAACCTCCTTCAAAGACAAAATCCCTGTGGTGCTGAACTATTTATAACAGCAACATTATGAGAAAAAAACAGTGATCGACAAATCGACACATACATTTCTTAAGGGTTGAACACAAATGAGGTGTTACATTTCCTAATTGCTGACATATATACTTGATCCTAACATGTTTGACAATTCTTAAGGGTTGAACACAAATTCAGTTACTACAACAGAAATTCAGAACTCATGTGAATCCTCCTGAACTTGGATGCATTTTGATTTTTGAAATGTATTATCAAATTTCATAATAGCATTAGCATGGGGAGAGAACTCATGTGAGTACTCCTGAACTTGAGGTAAAAGGAAATGCAGGAGTCATATATTACAAATTAATGTCCTCTCTTGAGGTGCTAAACTGTCAGATATTTTTCCAGAACACAGCAATATATAAATTTGAATTCCTCAGATTACCTCATAGCAGCCTAGCATGTAGCCTTAGATTTAATAAATCTCCAATTGCTTCAGCTGGAACCACAAGTTGAAACTACAATGCAGAAAACAAACAAGTCATAATAGTTGCTTGAAGTGCTTGAAGATCATACTATTTATTCACAAGGAACATGATGTTCTGAAATTAATGTGAATATCAACTTTCCTAAGCTGTTCTCAGAGTTAATCTCAGAATCTTATTTTTAACTCTCATTAGTGAAGTGATTAACAGGAATGTGAAGTGATTAACATGAAGAAAATTTGATTCAGAAATAAATCAAGAAACGGTTGCTGATTGAAAAACATAAGAGGAAATTTGATTCAGAAATAAATCAAATGGTTGTTGATTGAAAAACAAAAGAGGAAGATGGTAGCAGAAGCAATGCCGCCTACCTGTGGTGAGGTAGGGATTAGACACGGAGTCGGCGTGGGAAGAAGGTGGCGTAGACCTGCTGCGGCGACCGTTCAGCGGGGAAATCCCTCTGCAGTGCAACGCCGACCTGCGGGGCGACGGCGATTGACGGCGACCTGCCGGGACGGCGGTTAGCTCGCCGGTGGGTTCCGCTGCGGGGTTGCTGCGTGAGGCGCGCAGCGGGGGCGGCGGATGGGGAAGCGACGTGGCGAGGAAGGGATGGGGACGCCGGGGAGGCAAGCAGGCGGGGCGGCAGATGGGGAAGTGGCGCGGCGAGGAGGGGATGGGGACGTGGGGGAGGGAGGCAGCACAGCGAAGAGAGGGGCGTGACGGCGGCGTCGTAGATGAGAGCGAGCAAGAGCGGCGGTCGGCGGCGTTGCAGAGCTCAGGGGTATCGCAATGGGGGCGCCGACGGTGGAGGCGTTGTGGGGGCGCGGCGATGGGGGCGGCGCGATGTGGGAGGCGTGGTGGGGGAGGCAGAGTAGGGAACCGCCCCTGGCGGTGGCGGCGGCGAGGGAGGCACACAGGGGAACCGACGATGACGAGGAGTTGAGGAGGCAGGGGAGGCGCGGACGCGGGGCGTGGTGGGGGCGCAACGAAGAGAGTGGGGCCCCGGAGGTGGAGCACGTGGTGGGGACGCAGAGAAGAGGAGGAGGAGCGGTTTTTTTCTCGCTGAGGAAGAGGGAAGGATCGCGCGTGGGAGGATCGTGAAAGGAATATCGTTCGTAGGATCCCGCAGATCAATGGCGGATCCGAAGGATTGCAGGATTGCGGGATGAACTCGTACTTTTTTATATTAGTATAGATGAATCTGGATATATACATGCTTAGATTCATGGTATTAGGTTGCGTCAATATCAAATAGTAGGTTCAGTTTTTTTTTAACGGATGGAGTATGGCATAATTACTGCAGTGAATTAAATTTGGGTCATGGAGGTTGAGAGGCTAAATCCTTACGGAGCTATCGTTTCTCTTATTCGCAAAACGACATATTTACAAACGAAAAATAACTTGTGAATAAAACTTTTATATACGTGCTCTTAGCGATCTAAAAGTAAATGCTGAAAAATAAACTTCAATGAAAAAAAACCTCAAAATCAACTCCAAATTTAAGATTGAATATTCAAAATTTGGTTGATAAGCATAAGCATAAGCATAAGTGAAAAAACGAGGCCTTTACTTCATGCAATTCTTAATCGATCCCGGCGAGCAGGTGTTGAGGAAGGGTGAGGCACGATGGTCGTTGTCGGGCCAAAGGCGGTCATCGTAGCTGCTGGGGAGGCTGGGCTCATTGTACTCCGGCTAGAGCGGCTCAGACGAAGACGGCGGCGGGGATGACTCCGACGACCCTCCTGGCCGCCTCTAGCCATCGATCCCGGTGAGCAGGCATCGGGGAAGGGCGGCGGGGCACGGGGGTCGTCGTCAGGCCAAAGGCAGTTGTCGTTGTCACAACTACGGGGGAGGCTGGGCTCGTGGTACTCCGGCAGGAGTGGCTCGGACGAAGACGACGACGGCGATGGTAGGGATGACTCTGACGATTCTCCTGGCCTCCCGCCCCCCTCGCTAGCCACCTCCCTCTTCTACTCGCTTACTGGCCTCCTGGCCGCCAGTTGGCTTCAACTCACCGACCGCCGCCCTTTCTCTGTCCCCAGCTCTCCGCACGCGCTCGTCCGTGGACTCGTGGAGCCGGTGATGACGTGCCCAAGCTAGAGACAGAGAGGAGGGTGGGACCCACTGACATGTGGGCCCCCCATTTTGTTTTATTGTTTTGTTTTTATATTTTGTTTTTAGTGTCACATCATCGCCACGTAGGATTACGTGATGATGACCAAGTCAAACCAACCACGTAAACATCACGCCAGCCAAAACCGTCATCCAAATCGTTGTGGGACCTCATCTGCACAGTTTTGAGACTTGAGGGACCAGTTGTATCTGGTATTGTCGTTCAGGGACGAAAATCAAACTCGTTGTCAAGTTAAGGGACCTTATATAAACTTATCGCTTTTCTTTCCGAATCGAAAGTCAGTCCATTCCCGTGCCTACCGATGACGCAGTCCTCCCTCCTTTCTTTTCGGTCCACGCGGCCCGCTTCTCTAGTCCAGCTCGCGCGTGGCTGGCACACGCAGCAACGCGTGTCGTTTTGTGAGTGGCAAATACGGGAGGGCCACGGATCGCTACACGGATCGGCAATATTAGCCGTCCGATGGATTCCGATCGAACGGGTAGAACCGTAGGAGTTCTCTCCCGTTCATCACGCGGGCGGCATCGACACGTGTAGTTTTGCGAATGGTCAGCGCGGAAGCGCCACGGATCGCCACGCGGATCGGCAGTATATGCCGTCGGATCGCTTCTGATCGAACGGATAGGAGCGCAAATGTGTTTTCCCTTTTCCTCGCCGGGATCCAGCGGCGCCTCGCCGGCAAATATAAATGTGAGCTCCGACGGCGACATCTGCCGTACCTCCTCTTCGTTAGGTTTAGCCAGTGAAACACGATGCCCTACGTCACGTCGGAGGCGCAGGCCCGCGCCCTCCTGCAGGTCGGCGGGTGGCCCGTCGGAACTCTGGTCCATGTCGTCATCGTCGACGCCGCCTGCCGTGCCCGCCGTCTCGACCACACGCTGCGGGCGATGGTGGCGCGCAGGGGGTGGGTCGTGGTCAACCGCCACGCCGTGCTTCGAGTCATCCGCGTCAGCGACCTGGTCCACAACATCCTCGACATCACCCTCCCCCGCCTCCTCGACGACGCCTACGACGCCACGCAGCTCACTCACTTCCGGAGGCAGGCGGCGGCTCTTCGTACGATGGCGGGTGTGATCGGAGGGAACTTCCGCAACCGCGCCTACGTCGTCGTCCGCAAGATTCGCTTCGTCGCCAGCAGCGCCCGCAACCACTCCATGGCGGCGGCGAGGCTCCAGCAGCGTCTGCTCGACATCAGGCGTCGCCTCAGTGGTCTCGTCGAAGCACCTGTTCACCTTTGAGCGTTTTTAGGGTGAATGTTTTGTCCGGTAGCAGTGTGGTTTCACCTTCGACTCATGTGCAGTAGTTTTGTTTGATGATAGGCCTGAGTTTCATCTAATGGTTGCATAGGCGGAGCACATTCTCACCTTAGGAGGAGTATATAGGTACTATATGAAATACAGATAGAATCCTGCATATATTAGGAGTAAACATAGAGGAGATTCGAATTTCGAAATGCTATATGAATTGTGGAATGGTATATCGGAAAGGATCCCGTAATGTTCAATTGTAATTGCCTTAACAATCATGTAAGGAATGGATATGATTTGAACAGAAATCGAGTTAATATGACACGATGCATTTATTTCTCGTTTGTTTTTGGTCTCTGTTCAGATTTTTGCTGAATGCTGTTTGTACTTTAGGATTTGAACCTATTATCATCCTGTTTTACGATTTCCCTGCTTACTATCCTCCCTGCAATATCCATGTTGAAATTGAGGATCAATGGAAATGAGGATGATGCATAGTGGCACTGTTAGTTGAGAGGAAGATAGAGAAGACAGAAAAACAGGGTTAAGGCCTTAAGAGACAAAATTGGAGTAAGAAGCCAGGTCGTGGATAAAAGATCATTGCATTCTGATAACTAGAAGTGGTCGCTCTGTTTTCAGGATATGAACTTACAAAGGCTTTGTGCAGACTGCTCCTATCTAATAAATCAGGTGACTGCAATACCCTGGAGTGAACTGTTTTTAGTTTTTCTTCTTGTTGCTATAATTATCTAATAATACCACTTTGCAGATTGCTGGTGAATTGTTGGCTCTTCTTGCTGATGCTGCTTTTGAAACAGTTAGTATCCCCTTTCGGTAAGATTAGAAGACCATTTTATTTTGCATGTTGTTCTTCATACATGTTACAGAGATAAGATAGCCAAAAGAAAGATTCTGAGATAACCTGCAATTGTTATAACTTCTATTGATATTCAGCTAGATGCTAGTATATGTCACCTAGTTCTATATTCTGCAACCTGTCTAGGAAGTAGGGTATATAAACCAGACTAATTCGAGGACTCATTTTACTGGTGCAAATCACGTGATAAGATCACTAAACCCTACTAGTTGGCCATATGTCCAAAGGCTATGCCGGTGTGGTCAGCATTTAGAACTGTCTAGGGAGACAACTAGAAATATAGTGAACGCTAAGTTAGTACAACAAGAAGACTATCCATGTTCCAATTAGGAAGTCCAGTGCGAGAGGACTATCTTAAGCCTTACTGGTGCTGTTTATTGTGGCTAACTGGTGATACGATGAAAAGGCACTGCATTGCTATGTTCGTTAAGCACTTTATTTATTTTCTTTGTCAACTATATCTACATTTGCATACAATGAGTTGAAATTATTTTACACTGGATATTTATTGCACTGTTGTTTGTCTGTCATACACCATGTCTATTTAGTTGAAAACATTTTTCATGGTTCTCACTGGTGCTACAAGAGGTATTGTAGAACTACAAGAAAGTAGTTCTGTAGCACACCCAAATTACTAGGGATCTGAAGTGACAAATGCATGTAGTTTTGCTGGATTCAGTCCCACATTGGATTTGCTCAAGTGTAGCCCCTAGGTTGTTGACTAATTTTCACCTAGGCCTAATTTTGTATACCATGGCGGTTTCTTCTTAATATTGTTTGTGAAGCCTTGAAAAAGTTGCAGAGTTATGTGGAATGCCTTCTCCACATGTACATGTGGCTACATGCACTAACATCACTGACAATTGTGCTTTAAGATTACTGTGACTTTTAATATGGAAACCAACCAAATATTCAAACTGACCAGATTCATCATAATCTCTTTGGCACAAATACATAAGCACTTCAGATGGGTACTTGGGTAGGATAATGCATGTACTTGTAAGGCCTGTATATAAATTTGGAGATGCATCTTGTATTTTTCCCTTCCTTTGTGTCTTGGTTTTGGCTGGTGGTTAGTTGGCTGATGTTGTACATTCTTCTGGTCTGGTTTAATTTTAATCTTCGTGGCAATGTTTATCCTGCAGTTTCTTGGCTGTTTGAAAGATGATTTGAATTCTGAGGTGCCTTGGGCACTGTAACAAATGTCACGGAGGCCTGTGTGGCTGTGCTGTTTCGCTATACATATTTATAAGGATGAAGACTAATCCTCTGGTGTATGGGATAGCTTGGGAAGAGGTATCCTTTTCTTCCCTTGTTCACATCTTCGACGACTTGCATAAGCTTATTCTGGAAGTACGTATTTTGTAGTGTGAGTTGACTACTGTGTTGTATGCTAACTTTTTATGCATTAGCAGTTGCGGTAGTGTGACATATTCTGTGTATTACTGATGATCATTTCTATCATGCGACAAGCAAGATAATTGTCTTTGTTATGGTACTTCATTGCACTATTGATACTCATGCTCTGGTTTTTGAATCTAAATTGAATCTTTTTGCAACTCCCAGTTTCATATTTGCCAAGGTTATTGGTGATTGTTCCTTGGTTGCCAAGCAAAGAGCGTTTATTATTCATGCTGCATGTGCGCTAGATAAAGCTATGATGGTGCGGTTATGTGAAAAGAGCGGCAACTTTTATTGCACAGAACTTGGTCGAATTGCAAACCACTTTTACCTTCAGTACTCCAGTGTGGAGACTTACAATGAGATGCTTTGGCATCACATGAATGAGAGTAAGGTGATAATATATATTTTTCTCTTTTTATTTATATGATGCTTGTAAATTTGCACTAACCTTTTGTTAGAATAATTGGGCTAGGCCCAATTTATTCTATTAAATCTCAAAGGCCCATAATAAATGTTAAGGATAATAATACCACCTCTGGATTTAAGCGAGAAATATCTCAACCTAAATAGGGAGTTATTAGAGGCTCCCTGTTGACCAGTTGAGGTGGGGGTCGGAATGCCACACGCGCGCGCGCGCCGGGCCGGGCCGGGGCGTGGGCGAGGGCGAGGCGAGGGCGTGGCTGGCTGGCGGCGTGCGTGCGTCACGTCGCTATCCTTTTGCAGCCACTAACCCACGTTCCACGATTCCCTCCGCAACAGCGCGTCCACGTTCTTTCTCCTGATAGATAAGGAGGCCGCGAGTCCGATCCGAGTTCCTCGCTTCTTTCCCGGTGTTAGTTTCTCCTTCTCCGCGCCTGAGTTGCTCTCGCTTCTCCGCTTCTGATCTCTTGCGCGCACGAGAGATTGGAAGAAGCAGTGCCTCCGAAACCACACCTTCGCCTGAGATGGGTGATCAGGTTTTTGGGGGAGTGCCTCCTGCACGACTGCTCATCGCCATGTCTGGAGTTGCTGCCGCCGCTATTGGCGGAGGTGGTGCGCCGCCGCCGACAGGAGCTGGTGCGCCAGGAGGAGGTGCCGTGAACGACTACAACAACGGAGGCAATTCTGCCTCACCATCCAGCGGAGGGCCATTCTCGGGGTATAATCTTCTCCTTCTACTGCTGTTAGCGTTACTCCTGTTCCCATTGTTAGCGCTATACTGTGTGCGCTATGTTCTTGTTCCTGTTCTACATGATGCCTTTAGCATGTTATCGCATTATTGGTATGTTCCTGATTCTGACATTCATGATGCGCTTAGTATGCTACTGGTTATGTTAAGATCACCCTACACTGCTTATGCCATGATCATAGTTTCAATTTCTTGGATTAAAATATGCCGAATAATGACTATATTTCCAACAATCCAAAAACCTGATAGGTCATTTTCGGTAGTTGGCTTTGCTGCTGCACTGAAACCACATGCTTTTGATGGTTCAAACTATAAGAGATGGAAAGCACGTGCACTATTGTGGTTGACAGCGATGCAGTGCTTCTATGTTTCACGGGGCAAACGAAGTGAACCACCTCTTTCTCCTGAGGAAGAGGCTAAGTTCGAGGCTTCGGATTGCCTGTTCCGTGGAGCATTGATCAGTGTACTCGCTGACAACATAGTGGACGTGTACATGCACATGCCTTCTGGGAAGGACATGTGGGATGCACTCGAGGCCAAGTTCGGAGTCTGACGCCGGCAGTGAGCTGTATGTCATGGAGCAGTTCTATGACTACAAGATGGTCGATGACCGTTCTGTAGTAGAACAAGCTCATGAGATTCAGATGCTGGCTAAGGAACTTGAGAACAACAACTGTGAGTTGCCGGACAAGTTTGTGGCGGGTGGCATTATTGCCAAACTACCACCTTCTTGGTCGGACTTTGCCACTTCTCTAAAGCACAAGAGACAAGAGTTCAGTGTTCCTGATCTCATTGGCTCTTTGGGTGTTGAGGAGAAGGCGAGGGCAAAGGACATCCGGGGCAAAAAGGTTGAGGGAGGTTCTAGTGCCAATATGGTACAGAAGAAGAACCCTCATGCATCCCACAACAACAAGAAAGTCAAGCCTGATGTCAAACCCAAGGCTGCAACCAATTTTAAGAAGAAAGGCAAGGGAAAGGCAAAAGGAGACTGCTTTGTGTGTGGCAAGTCTGGGCATTGGGCCAAGGACTGTCTTGAGCGCAAAGACAGGAAGTCTGCCAACATGATCATTAGCGAGGGCGGAGGAACATCGGGGTACGGTAAAAAATTACCTACAGTTCTCTCTGTTTTTCATTCACCTGATTGGTGGGTGGATACTGGTGCTAATATTCATGTATGTGCTGACATTTCTCTGTTTTCTTCTTATCAGGTCGGGAGAGGTTCCTCCTTGTTGATGGGAAACGGGTCGCTTGCGGTTGTTCATGGTGTTGGTACGGTCGATCTGAAGTTTACTTCGGGAAAGACCGTGCAGCTGAAGAACGTGCAGCATGTCCCTTCAATAAAGAAGAATCTAGTTAGCGGCTCTCTATTGTGTAGAGAAGGTTTTAGACTTGTGTTTGAGTCCAATAAATGTGTCGTATCTAAATATGGGACTTTTGTTGGAAAAGGTTATGACAGCGGAGGCTTGTTCCGCTTTTCTTTGAATGACATGTGTAATAATCATAATGCTGTGAACCATATTAGCGAGAATGATGAGTCTAATGTGTGGCATTCGCGACTCTGTCATGTGAATTTCGGTTGTATGACGCGCTTAGCTAACATGAGTTTAATTCCAAAATTCACTTTGGTCAAAGTTCCAAGTGCCATACTTGTGTTCAATCGAAACAACCTCGCAAGCCTCACAAGGCATCTGAGGCGAGGAATTTGGCACCTCTAGAACTTGTTCATTCCGATTTGTGCGAAATGAACGGCGTGTTGACTAAAGGGGGAAAGAAATATTTCATGACACTGATAGATGATTGCACTAGATTTTGCTATGTGTATCTATTGAAAACAAAGGATGAGGCATTGCATTACTTTAAAATCTATAAAGCTGAGGTAGAAAACCAACTTGAAAGGAAAATCAAACGGTTGAGGTCTGATAGAGGTGGGGAGTATTTTTCCAATGAGTTTGCATCTTTTTGCGAAGAGTTTGGAATTATTCATGAGATGACGCCTCCCTATTCACCCCAATCAAATGGGGTGGCCGAAAGAAAGAACCGTACTCTAACTGAGATGGTGAATGCCATGTTAGACACTGCGGGGCTTTCGAAGGAATGGTGGGGTGAGGCAGTTTTGACTGCGTGTCATGTCCTGAATAAAATTCCAATGAAGCATAAGGAAGTAACACCATTCGAGGAATGGGAAAGGAAGAAATTAAATCTCTCATACCTACGAACATGGGGCTGTTTGGCCAAGGTAAATGTACCTATAGTCAAAAAGCGGAAACTTGGACCAAAAACTGTTGATTGCGTGTTTCTTGGTTATGCTATCCATAGTGTGGGTTATAGATTCTTAATAGTAAACTCTGGAGTACCCGACATGCATGCTGGTACAATTTTTGAGTCCAGAGATGCTACATTCTTTGAGAATGAATTTTCTATGAAATATACACCTAGCACTTCTAGTAAAGAAACTGTCATGCCCCATGAGCACTTTGCACCGATAGAACACAATGATGAAACGCCTGAGGAAAATCCTGAGGAGGACAACATTGTAGATACTCGCAAGAGTAAGAGACAAAGGGTTGCAAAATCCTTTGGAGATGACTACATTGTATACCTCGTGGATGACACCCCAAGAACCATAGAAGAGGCGTATTCATCTCCTGACGCTGACTACTGGAAGGAAGCAGTACGCAGTGAAATGGACTCGATTATGTCTAATGGTACTTGGGAAGTCGTTGAGCGTCCATATGGGTGCAAGCCCGTAGGATGCAAATGGGTTTTCAAGAAAAAGCTTAGGCCTGATGGTACAATCGAAAAGTACAAGGCAAGGCTTGTGGCCAAGGGTTATACCCAAAAGGAAGGCGAGGATTTCTTCGACACATATTCACCAGTTGCTCGCTTGACTACGATTCGAGTACTACTTGCTCTGGCAGCCTCTCATGGTCTTCTCGTCCATCAGATGGACGTTAAGACAGCTTTCCTAAACGGAGAGCTGGAGGAGGAGATCTATATGGATCAACCAGACGGGTATGTACTAGAAGGTCAGGAGGAAATGGTGTGTAAACTATTGAAATCCTTGTATGGCCTCAAGCAAGCACCTAAGCAATGGCATGAGAAGTTTGACATCACGCTTACATCTGCAGGCTTTGTTGTGAACGAAGCTGACAAATGTGTATACTATCGCTATGGTGGGGGAGAAGGGGTGATCTTGTGCTTGTATGTCGATGACATACTGATCTTTGGGACCAGCCTTAATGTGATTGAGGAGGTCAAAGACTATCTGTCTAAGAATTTTGAAATGAAGGATTTGGGAGAGGCTGATGTTATTCTTAACATCAAACTACAAAGAGGAGATGAGGGTGGGATTACACTTGTGCAATCCCACTATGTGGACAAGGTTTTGAGTCGCTTTGGATATAGTGACTGTAAGCCAGCTCCTACTCCTTATGATCCCAGCGTGCTATTAAGGAAAAACCGAAGAATAGCAAGGGATCAACTGAGATACTCTCAAATCATTGGTTCATTGATGTACTTGGCTAGCGCAACGAGGCCTGACATCTCATTTGCTGTAAGCAAGCTGAGCCGGTTTGTCTCAAATCCGGGAGATGATCATTGGCAGGCTCTGGAAAGAGTAATGCGCTATCTAAAGGGCACTATGAGCTATGGAATTCACTATACCGGGTATCCAAAAGTACTAGAAGGATATAGTGACTCAAACTGGATATCTGATGCTGATGAGATAAAAGCCACAAGTGGATATGCGTTCACACTTGGAGGTGGCGCTGTTTCCTGGAAGTCTTGCAAGCAGACCATCTTAACGAGGTCAACAATGGAAGCAGAACTTACAGCACTAGATACTGCGACAGTTGAGGCTGAGTGGCTTCGTGAACTCCTGATGGATTTGCCGGTGGTTGAAAAACCAGTGCCAGCAATCCTAATGAACTGCGATAATCAAACAGTGATTATTAAAGTGAACAGTTCAAAGGACAACATGAAGTCATCTAGACACATCAAGAGAAGACTGAAATCTGTCAGAAAGCAGAAAAACTCCGGAGTGATAGCATTGGACTATGTCCAAACGGCTAGAAATCTGGCAGATCAGTTTACCAAGGGGCTACCACGTAATGTGATAGACAGTGCATCGAGGGAAATGGGCTTGATACCCACCTAAGGTTGCATAATAGTGGAAACCTGTCCATTGTGATCGGAGATCCCGTGAATTTGGATGGTGAAACAAACTATTGTGTGACTGAGAGAAGAGACCCTTGAAAGGGGCTCATTTTCATGATGTGCTTCTCTTCTTTCCTGTATGGTAGGATGGCTTATGTCTTAATGTGATCCGAGTGGCTTTTCCAAGCAGAGATGTTGACCTGCAGAACATCTCAGAAGGAACACACCTATATGAGTTCGACTGCTAGTCACAGTCTATGAGGTTTGGGCAATCTCTAGATACTCATGAAAGGCCTGGAGTTTGACTTATATGCTCCAAACAGAGGGGATGCGAACGGCAGCCCAGTACCAGTCAAGGTTCTGAGTGAAACCTGATCACACAAAACTTACAATTCAAGGCATAGTCCATTGTTAAGTTGTGGTCTGATGTAGCTCATTTCCTAGGTGGAAGTTCAACTTAACAGTCTCCACCAAAACCCTGGTATATCAAACAGGCACAACATTGAGAACATTTCTTATGAGCCTTGAAATTTGGTGGGGATTGTTAGAATAATTGGGCTAGGCCCAATTTATTCTATTAAATCTCAAAGGCCCATAATAAATGTTAAGGATAATAATACCACCTCTGGATTTAAGCGAGAAATATCTCAACCTAAATAGGGAGTTATTAGAGGCTCCCTGTTGACCAGTTGAGGTGGGGGTCGGAATGCCACACGCGCGCGCGCGCGCCGGGCCGGGCGTGGGCGTGGGCGTGGGCGTGGGCGAGGGCGAGGCGAGGCGTGGCTGGCTGGCGGCGTGCGTGCGTCACGTCGCTATCCTTTTGCAGCCACTAACCCACGTTCCACGATTCCCTCCGCAACAGCGCGTCCACGTTCTTTCTCCTGATAGATAAGGAGGCCGCGAGTCCGATCCGAGTTCCTCGCTTCTTTCCCGGTGTTAGTTTCTCCTTCTCCGCGCCTGAGTTGCTCTCGCTTCTCCGCTTCTGATCTCTTGCGCGCACGAGAGATTGGAAGAAGCAGTGCCTCCGAAACCACACCTTCGCCTGAGATCTGCACCGGGTAGGCGGGTGATCAGGTTTTTGGGGAGTGCCTCCTGCACGACTGCTCATCGCCATGTCTGGAGTTGCTGCCGCCGCTATTGGCGGAGGTGGTGCGCCGCCGCCGACAGGAGCTGGATCCGGAGCTGGTGCGCCAGGAGGAGGTGCCGTGAACGACTACAACAACGGAGGCAATTCTGCCTCACCATCCAGCGGAGGGCCATTCTCGGGGTATAATCTTCTCCTTCTACTGCTGTTAGCGCTACTCCTGTTCCCATTGTTAGCGCTATACTGTGTGCGCTATGTTCTTGTTCCTGTTCTACATGATGCCTCTAGCATGTTATCGCATTACTGGTATGTTCCTGTTTCTGACATTCATGATGCGCTTAGTATGCTACTGGTTATGTTAAGATCACCCTACACTGCTTATGCCATGATCATAGTTTCAATTTCTTGGATTAAAATATGCCGAATAATGACTATATTTCCAACACCTTTCTGGATACTGGGGGTCCCATTCCTCTGGATTCGAAAATAGTGTATTAAGAGAAGAAGAGCAGGATGAATTAGAATGCATGCCCACAAGATATTAAGGGGAAGTTTGGGAGGGGGGACCCACTGACAAACATAGGAAAATTTCAATTCTCATACAGGTATCTATTGGAGAAATGCTGTTTATCAATAATTCTTGAGTCTAACAACTTTCTTTAACTGAGCACTTGTATCAACTTTGCAGGTTTACATATCACGTGCTCTACTTGATAACTCCTCTTTGCACTCTAATGCTCAAAGCATTAGTCGAAGCTTGGATCATGTTATGAGGACATTATTTGAGATTTGTCTGCGTCAAAGGTGGTCTGAGATGACATCCTTATTATTAGAGTACTGCAAGGGTGTTGACCACAAAATATGGGCAGTTTGTAATGGACCTTCCTAATGAGGTTTTTCATCAGTTACCGCTTGCCATTTACATTTTTATGTGTTTGCTATTTTTTTATGTGTTCTCTGAATTAGATATGTAAAATAGTAGACTTGAGGATGAAAATATCTATCTGGATCGTCTTTATGGGATAGAAGAAAATGATATCGGAGCTCTGATTCACTCTTCTCATCCAGGAAAGGTATGCCCTGACTTAACAAGTGGTACCTGTAACTTTGCAAAGTTCATACGAATACTGCAATTACTGAAAAGTACTGGCTAATGTAATTTACAACAATCTTTTGCTGAAGGTCTTTCCATATGTCAACTTATCTTCTTGTGTGAGCCCAATCACCAGGACTGTTCTTAAAGTAAGGGCTTTTGGAAGCCATCTGCAGCCTTTTTTGCTGAGAAAGGTGAACTCCCAAAGAGATTTGGTTTAGATCAGCTACACTGGGAATCCTCCTGCAGGTGATAAACTGTACCAGTCTTCCTTTTTCTTCTCTAAACTGATATTTCTAAAGAAATGTTTCTTTCAAATAAATGTATGATGCATTAATCCAGAATGTCTTCTGTTGAAACCTCAGGATATTGCACAGCGGTTCCTCTCTTGGTCATACTCCCTGTGCTAGAGAGTTAAGGTACGCAGAAATTCAGCACTGCAGACCTGTATTATTAATTGCACCTAATTCAACATAAGGGCTTGTTAGTGCCTTTGGACATTATTATGCTTATTATTGCAATAACTTCACTTCAACGAGATTGTTTTATTTACAAATGAGGATAGTATCACAAAGGTAGATATGCTAAGCAATTAAGCACACTCATATAGAATCAGTAATAACTTGTTATAGTCTCTATGGTCTCCTACTTTCCTAACTACTACTTTCGCAACATATTACCTTAATATTGCTTCATAGTATTAGCTAAACGGAGAAACATGTGTAGGGTGTACTAAATGCTGCTTGTCCACTTGCCACTTGCATTCACAGATCCATCTTAGTGGCATTGATGTGCTTTGTCTTTCAGGCAGTTGCTCTTAGTGGCATTGATGTGCTTTGACTTGTACAAAACATCCTTGGATATTCTTTTAATCCATCTTGAGTTATCTGTCCATGTGTAGCTTTCTCATCTGAGAGCAGCATAATATTCTTAGAGATTTATTGAACAACTACCGTAATAGGCCCAACAGTGGGGCTAAATCTTCAAGAAAGTGTAATGATAGGACTGTAGCTTTCTCAAGGAGACTTTAGGTTTGTGGTGTTTACATTGGCAAACAATTCAGTGATTATCAATTTTCTCTCTCTTTTCTACTCGATCATATTCTTATTTCTATTTTATTAGCTACCATCGCTGGAATTTTTTTTTATCCCTGTAGGAAGTTTCTAGGCAGTGCGGTTTCAAAAAGGTTTTTAAGCAGAAAGTTTTTTGTATTGTTATAGAAAGTTTATGCATAGTAATGTTTATTTCTTGTATAAACTTTTTGACTAGAAGTTTCTGAGCACAAAGATTTGTGTTCTAGAAAATTTATGCGTAATAAGCTTCGTATTCCTGTAGAAAGTTTATGTATTCCTGAGCAGACAATTTTTTATCCTGTGGGAAGTTTCTGAGCACAAAGCTTCCTTTGTTTATCAATAGACTTGGCTATAACACATGCATACAAGTTTTAATGACAAGTCTCACGTACTATATGGCTGCACATTGCTATAATGAGAAGCACTACCCTGAAATCAAAGCTATCACAAAGAAATCTAACACTGAATCTGTATAAATATGTGAACCGCACTGTCGGCACATCGCCACCTCTACATTATGTAAATCTGTATTGACAGTTACATGGAAAACCAAACAAATTCTAACCGAGATGAGTGAACTTAAGTGAAAATCAAGCATAAAACACTGTATTTTTTCTATAAAATTTGGTTTTCAAATTAAATCATCACCATTTCACTGCTGTCTTGTATGACCTCTACATTTGACCTATATCAGAAAGAAACAGGTCATATTGTACTGCCAGTATCTTTCTGTTTTTCTCCTGCAGTTCTACCTAACTGAGACACTAACAGTATACAGGATCTGCGTGGGATGACTCAAGCACATATGCCAGGCTGTTGGTTTCTTGGTATGTACCTCAAACTTAAACATGTTTCTTGGTGTGTAGCTCAAACTTAAACAAGTGGATGTTTATTTATATGTAAACAACAAAATTGATGGAATGCTGACTGATTTTTAATTACACATGATCTTTCATAGACAAAATCTTGATGAAAATTGTGGCCATTCTTGGCCTCACGTCAGATAAATTCTTACATGGGTTTTCTGGTTGTATTTTGTGATGTGCTGCAGGTCATTTATAAAACATTCAGGATTTCATACATGGAAACGATAAATGATCTGCTCACAGTAAGTACCTATAAGCTAACTTCGCACCGTCTCGTGCGAGTCGTTCAAAAAAAATGAAATGCTTATACGTACTCAAGGCTAAACCAAACATTAGTGTAAATATTAGACTTTTACAGAGTAGTACACTGGGTGTAAAAGATGATAGGTTTAGTAATTATTGGCAAGTTGTTGGAATTAACAGTGTTCTTAATGCAGACCATTTCAAATTGTAGTGCTAGAACTGTGCAAGCTGTATGCACATTCAAAGGGAATAGCGCCCTAGCCCAACATAATATCTTCTCTGTTTTTAAAGAAAATAGTGCAGTTTGTGGGTATACATTATTAGTTACTTTTTCAATCTATTGCAAATCCTGATTTTTACTCAACAGCTAGACATTCTGACCAAATGGCTGTTCTTCTATATGATTGTTTGATTCTATTTTCATAGATTTTCATTTTTACAATAAGTGGTTACTGTTTTTAATCATATATCTTTCCTGCTTGCCTTGGTCATAGCACAGGCATATACATGATACATTTGTATGATCATACATTCAAATTTTGTCATGCATAGAGCACATAAGACGGGGAAAGCAACATGTACATTCTTTACAATCCTGCACCAGAGAAGTTTGACGATGAAGTTTTTCATTAACTAATCGACATGATATTTTGTAATTCAACATGAATCATCTGTGACTTTATACATGTGTGAAGTGTGCTACCAGTATTTCGACATGGAAGATCATAACCGAAGATTTTACGGGGGGCAGAGGGGACGAGGTGGTGGATGACGATGGCGAGCTCAGAGGCCACGGTGATGGCCAAGGATCGTTTTGCTGTCCGGGGAGTACTAGGCTTAGGAGATTGCAACTATGGTGTCCATGTGGAAGTGCCAGCAACGACGAGGCAGAGCTCGATGATGGCGTTGACGGTAGCGAACTCACCGTGCAGCCCGGCAGTCCACCACCACCGTTGGTTGCTGCTAGCGCTGTGTGTGTTTGTATGTATTCCTCTACGTCGCAATGAAGCCTATGGCGATGGGCGTTGTGGCATACAACGTGTACACAAGGTGTACGGTGCTATGAAGCTATGAAGGTGGCGATCTTGGGCAGGAGGCACAAAGGCAGGAGACGCCACCAGTAAACATGTGTGGACTTATTAGCTAGCGTACTTCCTCGGAATAAGTCCGCTTAACATTCGTCATCTTTACGTGGAATTTAGTTGAAATCCCTAAACCGCAAAACCAAATATCTTCACCTTCCATCGTAGCAAAACCGTCTTAGTCGGGTCCCATCATAGTATGGATGGTTGTTTTAACTTATGTGCATCCTAGCCAATAGAAAGAAAATAAAAAACATTTGAGATCCATATATGTTAGGAGATCTCTATTTCCTTTGATCGCCCTCTCTCATCTATTCCCATCTCTCCCACTTCTTCCTTCTTTCCCCATCCCTCTTTAGGGCGACGACCAGTGTTGACATGGGGAGTGGCGGTGGCGGGAGAGAGGAGACAAGACAATGGTGGGGGCTAGACACATGGAGGTCACACCAATGACCTCATCGTGGAGGTCACACCCTAGCATGACACATACAAAAAGGAAATGGAAAGCTAGAAGATTGCTTCGTCACCGTACAAGGGCGGAAGGGATAATCAAAATTGGTCCGTGCTGCCTGTTGTCAGTTGTCACACCATTTATGCCTCTGCGGATCATAACAACCATCTGCTACAACTGTTGTCCGTCATCATCTAAATCCCCTTATGCTGTCGCCCGTATTTTGAACGCTCCTAGTGCACCGCGAAGCCACTTTGCAGCGCTACCATTCAAACTCAATCCCCTTATGCTGTCGCCGTATTTTGAACGCTCCCAGTGCACCGCGAAGCCGCTTTGCAGCGCTACCATTGTCTTGCGCAGATCGTCAAACTCGTCGTCGCTCCTAGAGTGTTGCTGCAACTGCCTTTATTGCCATGAGATCGTTGGAGATGCTCCACTGTCATCCACACCTCTTAGCAATCAGATTTGGTGTCGACGCTCGCTTGGCAAGTGATGCCTCTAGGACACTGCCACCAGCCTCATCTGCATTAGGCGAGCTGACAACAATCACACCGTCAGCCGACCCTGTCACCAATGACCACCGTCCCCTGTTCTCGCCTGGCGCCGATGAAGGGGCGGAGCCAGCCAGTGTACCTTGCTCCAATCCTCCAAATCTTAACCAAGCCAGTGGGAGACAGGTAAAATACCACCTGTTTTCAGCTTTCCTACAGTTTCATCAATGAACGTAGGATGGTCTGGTACTGGCACTCTGGTGATGAATTAACCAAGCACATGGCTGAATAGACCACTGATGACTTGGATAAAAGCACGACACACCTCAAGTTACACAAGTCTGTTATTAATAACTCCAAATAAATTAATGGAGGCACAGACCTAAATAATGGACACCACACCACTAATAACTCAAAACGTAAAGCACGACACATCTCAAGTTACACAAGTCTGTTATTAATAAATTAACCAAGGCACATACCTAAACAATGGACACAACAAATAACTTAAAACATAAAGGACAACACACCTTAAGTTACAAAATTAAATACTGGGTAATAATGATCCGACATCCAAGTTACCAACCATGGCAACGGCTGCAAGGCTCCCGGACATTGAACTTGACTGTAGAGGGAATTTTCCCCTCGATGTATGTTCGGATAGCCAAGAGCGAATTATGCACTCCCTTGATAACATCCTGATCCAATGGGAGGCAGACATCGATGTTGCCGTCAGAACACCGAAGTTGAGTGCAAAGAGTGTCCAATGTAAGGCACTCAAGGGACGTTGTATTTTCCATAATATGACATATTAGCTCAGCCAAGCTTCTTGTGGCACTGAAACCAGTGATCTTCACATTCTTAAGCTTGTCGTGCCGGTGTTCGGGGATTTGCCTTAGACATATGGGATCCTTAAATGTCAAGTCATGCTTCTCTTTCTGTGAAATCTGAAGATGAAAAATCAATGATACTTCAATAAATTATAAATGGTCCACCATAGTTATTAGATAAGCATTGCATAATGAACGGCAACTTACACATAGGATGAAAGTCTCCAAGGAAGGAGAAGCATCAAGAAAAGATGCAAGAGAAAAATAATCATAAGCCCAGGAAAATCTCCATGTTGCAAAAGTAATCCTCAAGTATCTAAGGTGGAGGAATTTGCCAGGGCCAGTTGGTGTATCCACCATCTGCAAAAAGAAGGCTCAGACCAATTATATTTCAGAGCATGGTACTACATTACACGCCAACAATGTATCACCTAAAGTGCGGTGCATACCTCACAAGACAAAATGACATTAAGAGTTTCAATATCTGGCATACTAAACGGAAGCTCAACACGAGCATAACAGACACTGTTGGGGAAAACCACTTCCAGATTCTTCAATCGCACAGGTTCCTCTAGTGAGAATTGCGCTTGTTTACCTTCAAAGTGAAAACTGCATAGATTTGGAGCTTTGCTTTCTAGCATTTGTAGCCCGAAACATCCAAATACCCCCAGGAAGCTAAGCCGCTGTAGCAGACAAGGTATTGTCAGGCGATTAATCTCGCCACAACGCTTGATTTCCAACCTCTCCAAAGCTAAAGCATTGGAAAGAAGATATTCTATGTCGGTATCAATAATACGCACACAAGATATGTAGCGCCCGTTCCGTCGTGGCGCCTAGCGGGAAAATGTAATTCCTAAAAACCCTAATTGCGAAAATTGTTTCTTTGCTTGCAGTCAGTCTCCGTGCCATTCCGGATCTCAAATCCCCGATCTATCGTCAAGTTCAATCCCGAATCCAAATCCTTCCCAAATCAAATCCCCCCGCAAAAGTCTATTTTGCCTCCCTCAGGTTCGATGGGCCGAATTCCTCTCGGCCCATCTCTCCCTCCCTCCCCATCTCTCCCTCCCTCCCCATCTCTCTCTCTCTCCCCCGCTCTGCCCGTGTGCCGCGCGCGCGTGCGTGTGGGCCGCGCCGAACCGAGCGCCCTCCGCCCTCGCTGCCGCTTCCCGCCAACGCCGCCAAATCGTCGCCGCACGCCGTTCCTTCCCGCGCGCGCGCGCCATGGTGGCCGACCGGCCAGTCGCCGCCGCCGTCAGCCTCTGCCGCGCTTGTCTGCGCCTGTCGCCCGTGTCGCCGCTCCGCTCCACACCGCCCCCGTCGTCATCGCCGTCGTCACAACCCGACCCCGCCACTCCGCGTGCTAGCCTCCAAGGGACGGAGGCAGAGCTCCTCCTCCCTCTGCCGCGTCGCCCTCTCTCCCTCCTCCTTTTCCCCAAAGTGGCAAGGGGCAAGCCCCCTTTCCCTTCTCCTTTTTCCCTTTTCTCTCCCGCCGGCGTCATCCCCCCCCCCTTATCGCCGTTTTGGCCGTGACCGCCGAGCGCTAGCCCTCTCCCTTGACCGCCCTAGGTCGGTTCCCAAACCGACATTGCCTCCCATTTAACCAAGGCGCCCTCCCATCATTCCTCCTCCCGTTTCGCTCGCCGCCACCGCGCCATTGCCGCCCCTCTGTCTCGCCTCCGCCATTCATCGCCAAGCACCGGGAGAGCCGGAGCGTGCGAAGGACGCGGAAGGGGACTCTGGGCGCTCGTCTTCCTCCGCTTCCCCGGCCCGAGGCCGGAGAGATCACTCCCGTGCCGTCGGCCTCTCGTCACAGCGCCCCGCCTCGTCTCGGTAGTGCATCTCCCCGTTCTCCCTCCTCGATCCATCTCCTCCCCTTAGACTCGGTTAGTAGCATGTGTAGCACCCCAGTAGCTAGCTGGCGCCGCCCCGACTGCTGCCGTCGCTCGCCGCGTGCCCGCCGCCGTCGCCGGCCTCCCTCGGTGCGTTTCCTCCTAATCCGGCGCAAGGGACGGATTCCCGGAGTCGCGTAGATGCTCTAGCTCGCCCGAATCGATCTCCCGTCGCGCCGTCGCCGTTTCCCCCTTCCCTCGCCGCCGGTTGCCGCCGCCGCAATCCGCTGCCGTCGAGCTCCCTCCGGCGAATCCAAGCCGTTGGCTCGCTCCCTCTCGTTCTCCCTCGTCATTCCGGTGTACACCCCGTCGCCCCTCGTCGTCGCACGGCGTCCCGGAGAAACCGCCGCCGCCCGCCGTCCATTCGCGGCCGGCGCCTTCGTCTTCCTCCAGCCGGCCCGCGTGGCAGCCACGTAGGCGCCACGTCGGTGCCACCTCAGCCGCGACCGGGTCGAGCCGACCTCGGTCGGCCGCTCCCTTCGGCCCTGCTCGCGCGCGCGGTCCACCGCGAGCCGTGAGGCTGCGCGTGGGCCCGCCGCACCGTGTCCTCCGCAAACCGCGCGCATGCACCGCGCCTCCCCTCCCCAAACCCTAGCACGCCCCGCGTGCACCTCGCTCACGGTGAGCCGAGCCGCCGACAAGCGGGTCCCACCCGGGACCATGCAAGGTGAACCCGGCCCACCCGCTCCCTCTCTCCTCTCCTCCCCGCGAGCCCCTTGGGCCGTCCCTCAGGCCGGCCGGCCCAATGGCAAGGCCGGGCCGCGCCAACCCCTCTCGGGCCGCGCTCAAGCCGCCAGCGAAATCTAATTCCCGTCCCTCTTTCTTTTCTTTTCTTTTCTTTTTCAAAAAGGATTTAAATAAATCCTTTTCCTTTAGACCAAAAATCCAATAATCTTAGAAACTCAATATCTTCCCAACCGTAAGTCCGTTTGACTCCGTTCAACTTCCAAAATTCCTCAAATCTCGAGATCTATCTAATGGCATGCCTAGAGGTCAATAATAGGGCTTTATTTTCGCCGTTTGTTGAGCTGTCCCGTTTCGCGTGTAGTTTCAGAGCCCGAAGACCCGCAGTGCGAGGATTTCGAGGATCAAGCTCAAGATCTCGAGCAAGGCAAGTCACCTTTGAACATCTTGCACCTATAATGTAAATCTAAGTATTTCTTTTTCGCAAATATTGCATGAATAGGATTTACACAAGTAATTCGGCCGCGGCTTGTGAGATAGCCTGCCGGCCCCCCAATCCTAATTGCTGCAATTACCCTCCTTGAATTATTGAACACTTAAACCTCCTTTGTCAACTGTTGTGCTTCGATGCACGGGCCCTCAGGTACGTGTACCGGAACACCCTTCCCCCCCCCTCAAAATATAAAATATCCAACGATGGGTAAAACTTGGGTTTTACAAAAGACTTGGAAAACCCGACACCTGGGTCGGTGCTTGCGAACTAAATAAATTTCCAAAATCGCGGACCGGGGAACGTACCGGGTGCACGGTTTCCCGCTCTCGCACTTAAGAACCGTTTCCTTGGAATTTCATCCGAACATAAGACAAGTGCGACCACATGGGTGGAATGGGACACCCCGATTGAGTAACTAGCTAATCGGGGGAGCCTTGATGCCGAGAGACATGTGGATTCAACGGGGTGGTGTCGGGGAGAACCCCCGGGCTTCCTGGCACAGTATGGTCTGGGACCTAACCTGTTGTTGGTCTGGGACCCCTCTCGTCGGCATATGGCAACCCTGTGTCTGCTCTCGAAATGCCTTGTCATGAAAACCTTTAGGTCACCAGACGTGGCCGTTCTGCACGGGCTGGGTGATTCGGGTTAGTAATGTCGTGTGGGTAAAGTGTACCCCCTCTGCAGAGGTTATCAAACTGTTCGAACAGCTGTGCCCACGGTCATGGGCGGATGTGAGGTGATTCATAGCGTAGTTTTGTTTGACTACTGCTTTGTGAAATTGCTGTTGGGGATTGGGTTCGACGTTTGGAAAATCTGCGGCGGCTGATGGGATCAGCCAGGCCCGGGTGGCCGTTTGAAAGTTGTTGGCCGGGTGCCAACCTTGAAACCAATTCAAAGACTGATACATTGCACATACTCCGACCGGACGAGACGCACTGCCTCATCCGTGCCGTTTGAGAAGCACTCACTTAGATGTTTCAAAAAGGAGTTTGAATAAAATCATTTGCAAAAACAACAGCCTTCCCGTTGAAGCCTGCATTAAACACTTATTTCCCATGGCTTGCTGAGTACTCCTGTACTCACCCTTGCTCTATATAAATAATCTCCCCCCCCCCAGTTGCTGAAGAAGATGATGTGGATCCCGCTGACGAGGAGTTCTTCTAGGAGCAAGTCGGTTACGACGAGTTTTAGGGTTTCGGCCTAGTTCCCAAGTCGCGCCTGTGATGATTGGTCCAAGTCTCGGCTTCCGCTTTCCCTTTTGTAATGCAGTTGTGAGCTCGGGATCTGTCCGCAGCCCAACATGACTGTACTCCTACTCTGTAATAAAGAGACCACTGTTGCTGTGATATTCTGTCTTCCCGTGATACCAGCACTGTTTCCTGGGACTGGTATCGATTAACAGGTTAATTTGGAGCGTCACGGGCTAGTTCCGTTCGGGGCTAGTTCGGGACGTGACAAGATAGATGCAATCTTGTCAGGCTTCTCAAGCTAACAAGGCCAACTGTTGGACAGAAGGAACAATGAACAAGTCGAAGAGACTGAATAGAGTCGCCACTCTCATTAGATAAAAGTGAGCATGGGAAATTGTACTTTTCCTCATTTGAAGTCAACACGAGAGTGAGTTCTTTAATCCCAGATGTAATAGCAATCTCAAGCCAACTATTGAGATGATAATAGGTGTTGGCATTGGAAAAAGGATGTAATTCAAGGCTAAATGTCTTTATACCTCCTGAGTGATTTTTCATTATGCGGTCAACTTTGTTGTTGTAATCTCTAACTATCCCACCCTTTTTATGTGGCACTTTATTCAAACCCATCGTTTTCCAACTGAAAATGAGGTTGGGATGACACCTCCAGAAACGTAGAAAAGCCTGAGACACGCAAGCAGCACGGGCAGCATCTTGCAGTGGCAACAAGGAATGTATATGGTGCCATATGTCCTGCATCCACAAGCATTTAGAAAAATCTCAATATTGGAATTCAAGAGTAAATAATTAACACAATTAGAGAAAGCAAAAAAAAAAAAGATACATATATAGTGGCATTCTATAATGTTGCTCTACACATGGTTGTATAAAATGCATATGGCATTCGAATGGAGTCTGAGCTCATTTTTCAGTTTGTGTTTGTGTATTGTGCACGATGTGATTATTTTTTAAGTTGTAGTAGAACCAGTTTGTTTGACAAACCAAATTTTGGTGCAACCACCCTCACTAGGGAATGGTCCGTTGCCATCCCTATGTAGGACCGTACAAGATTGCAGTATTGCAGGATTTGTTCACAACTCAATATTTTGCTAACGATCAACCCAACGGTTTGTGGTTAGAGCAATAACGGTGACATTAGCTCCCTCTGCTTACAAAAAGTCTTTTGGACATTGACACGGTCTCCAAAACAGAACATTGACTAATAATTTACATTATAATCTATTGTTAGCCTGATAAGATTATGATAATATGAAATTACTTTCTGAGACATCCAAATATATGATTCTGGCATTTACGGCGTACCTCTGGAAGGTCCGGACCTGAATATCTCATTCTCTTCACACATTGAGAATTATCTTGTTGGCAGGGAGATTCCTTTCTTTTAGCACATTGAGCAAGAAATTGATCTGCAACATGTTATGCTCATGATATTACATACAAGAAGAAAACAACAAGACCAAGGTTGATACCAGTCACAATGAAACACGCAGAGAACAAAATTGGATCCATTAGTTACAGACAAGAATTTCAGTAGAGGGAACTTGTTACAGTATATAAAAAAAAACGTCAATTGAGCATTTGAGGTATTATTGAAAAATGATGCAACCGTCCCAAAAGACCATCAGACAATGAGTTGGAATCTCCAACCTCGTAGTTATAACATCTAACCCTGCTCACTGTTGTGTTTGGCTGAATAATTCTTGCTCCTCTTAACCATGATAGCCTCCACCATGGAAAGGAAGAAGCGTGCTATATATCCAACTAGGTATGTTTTGAAGGTCACATAAAAAATGGACAAACAGCAAAACACATTAAAAAGAGGATTTTTCTTCAACGTTCTGTAACGTATATAAGCTTAGGAATCGGCTTTAACAGTTTAGAAGTGGTATAGCACAGCACGTCATGAATCGAATAAGAAAAAGCATGTCATGCGGATAGCACAATATAGGACTAGATGAATTATATGGACCTAGGAGCCAAATAGGTGGCTTACAGGTTTCGATTTGGAGACGGCGCTGCTCCCGCCTTAGGGACATTAACCGATTCAGCTCATGTAGTCCCCTGGCGCGATGATATCTCGGATCTAGTCGAGAAATCGGAGGCATCGGGTCGGGGGCACCTCAGACTTGCCTTCTCTCCCGCTTCCTCTACTGATCTAATGTCTTTCTCCTCTCGATTCTCTGATTATTTGAACCCAATGCTGCGCTCGCTTACAATTTCTTTCTGAATCAAACGAGACGCGAGGGGAGGAAATCGAGTCGGCGCCGCCGGGCCGGGCGACCTACCAAGCCTACTCATACTAGTATACTACTACACTGGATGAGGAGGACGACGACGCCGGATGCACACGATAGCAAAGCTGGGCCCTAAAGATGAGACTGGACAGAAACCGTGCAAATTAAGCGCACACACCGGGAACCAAAAAGTCCAATTTAAGTCCCTTATTATAGGTCAGATTTGATTTGTATCCTCAACCGTAAAACCGGGTATTTGACCCATCCAATTACTGAAAACTTAAAAATTGACTCCTTTTTGTTGTTCCCATGGCAGTTTTAGGAAGATGGATTCTCACCCGTTTATTGCATGCCAACTAAATGTTACGAAAAATTTAAAAAATTAAAAATATATATCAATATGTAATATATCATTCCATAACTATGCAAGTTCAAATTAAAATTCTACAAGTTTAAAAAAATAATAAATTTAACTGCAAATAAACGTATAGTAATTTGAGCTTTGTTTGTTATTTTTATTACAATTTATATAAGTTGATTTTTTAACTTGCATGGTTGTGGAGTGATATATTACATATTGATTTATCTTGTCAATTTTACACGGTTTTAATAGTTGAAGGGGTCGATATATCCGGTTTTGTGATTGAGATATACGAATAAGATCTGACCACCACTACCCAACTCTATCCTTATCCACAACCGACCGACACATCCCGTTCTCTCAACGGCGCCTCCTCTTCCACCACCGTACCGCTCTTCCTGTTCCGCTATTGCGCCGACGCCGCCCCTCTTCCGCCGCAGTGGCGCTGCTCCCCCTGCTGCCCATCACCGGTACACTTCTCTTCCACCTCCGGTCTTTTCCCCTCGTTTTATCTGCTAGCGGTGATGGTGGAAGGGCCCAGCATCACCTCTCCCCCCTTCCTTTACTGCGAGTGGCGACGGCGGATCCCCACAACGACATCGAATCTGGCCGCTGGCCTCTCCCTTCCCACCCTCTTTTTGTGGTCGAGGGGCTCACGAGCTTGCCAGATCCATCAACCTCGTTGGGGAATGGCGATGCGACCACAACAGTGGCGAGCGGTAGATTTGGCTGTGAGTTCGCTGGATCCGACGATTGGCGACCACAACGGCCGCGGTGAGAGCGCGATGATGACCACGGCAAGCCCTCCTCGACCTCTCCTTTTTCCCCAAGCACATCAAGAGGCTCCGGTTCTCCCCAATGCGTGGCCCTAAACAGTGGTTTCACACCTCAAGAGCCGAAGCGTGCCGAGGCAACCATGACCTCTACAAGCACGACAAGGGCTTATGGAACAACGGTTCTAATGGGGAGGATTGAAACCACTATTCACAGTGGTGTATTGTATATGGCCTTATAACTAAAAAAAACTAGAGGATGCCTTGCGCGTTGCTGCGGAATTTGGTTAACATCAATTTGTTAGATAAGAGATATGATCTCAAGAAGAAACAGAATAAACAGATAGCTTTCTTAGAGAAATTTTTTTTAGCAGACCTATCAATAATTTGTAGATAATTTAGGTAGCACATGTCAACTGAAGGAGCGTTCAACCATAAAGATCTTTTATACGGTTAGACGGGTTGGATACATGTAGATGTGTGTAGAGATGGGCCAATGTGTTCATGTGGGCTACATTTAGCACTGAAGAGGCGAAAAGACTCACCCGATGACTGATGGGTTGGGCTCTATCCTGTATTGCATCAAACGTCTTAGAAGCAATCTAATACATTCATCCAACGGTTCAGAATTTGATGATGACGTGGAAGCACAAGATTTGAGCTTTTGGCCTTAATTTTATATAAAAAAAAAGGATTACGATCATTTGTGCTGTGTCCTCTCTATTCTCTCCCTCTCTCACTCTTGGACTATTGGTCCTCCCAGCGTCGGCGAAGCGAGGCGGCGAGCGAAACAATACTCCCACCAAAGCCCCACAATTGTTTTGCCCTTTTTTTATTCTTTTCAGAGCGAAGAAAAAGAAAAGAAAATTATAAATGAGAGAAACACACAGCCCGCTTGGACTTGGAGACGAGACGACGGAAGGCATCCGTGTGGTGGTGTGTGCCTTGTGCTTGTGGGGTCAAAAAAGTCAAAGCGCTGATGCTAACCGCTCGCCTATCTAGGCAAACACCAGTCAAAAAGCTGACCCACCCACGCCACCACCACGCTGCTCCGCTCCGACTCCTCCCACCTCCACCCCCACCACCCGTCATCAAACGAGTAGGAGTATCAATTATCAAACATTCAAACCCATCACCGCATCCCCAACTCGCCACCAACCACCACCACCGCCGCACGAACCCCCGAGCGCCCGAATCCCACACCGCACCACGCGCCGCGCCGCTGCGGCCCCGTCCCCGCGTCCCCTGTTCCGCCCCCCGGCTCCGGATCCGCTTCACCTTCACGTGGCGCAGGCGTCCCCGGTTTACCCCACCGCCGTCGCCCGGGTCCCGCCGCACGCAGGCGCCCGCGTGTGTGCGTGTCCTGCGGCCCCTCTCCCTCTCGTCGTCGTCGGTGAAAAAGGAAAAGAAAAACAGAGAGGAGGAGGCGTTTTTAACCGCGGTGCTCAGCGGGGTGGTGAAAAAATCTCCGACCCGGGTCCAAATCCAGGTGACGGCCGTTGACCGCGACCGTGGGGGCAGTGAAGTGGTGGCCGGGAGCGAGCGGGAGGAGGAAGGAGACATCGAGGGGAGGAGTGACCCGGAAGCAAGCGGAGGGCGAGCAGCCAAGCCAGCAGCGGATGGGGGAGTGGGGGCGGTGGTAGCCATCTCGCGCACGCCTTTCCCCGTACAAGCTGCTCCTCTCTTTCCTTATCTCTCCCCCCCTGATTACTACCCAGCAGCTGCAGCCCCCGCCCTCCTCGGCGGATCGGAGGGGCAGTTGATTTCCGGGCGGCGGCGGCGGCGCCATGAAGCGGCAGAGGTCGTACGGAGATGACATGGACGACGACCGGAGGAGGTTCTACGACCGAGGACCCCCGCCGCCGCCGCCGCCTCCGCGGCGGCGGCCGGGGGACTACGACGGCGATGGGTTCGACCGCCGGAAGGGGTTCGGCGGCGGCGGCGGCGGTGGCGGTGGTTTCTACGACCACCGGTACAGGGAGTCCCCATCTCCGCGAGGGTACGGCGGGGACCGGGCGATGCACCGGTCCGAGAGCTTCTCAGGCTTCCGGCGGGAGTTCCCCAAGGGGTTCCGCTCGGAGCGCGACCGGTCTCGGCGGGACGGTGGCGGCAGCTCGGCGTGGAGGCGGCAGAGCGGCGGGTGGAGGGATTCGGAAGGTTTGGACGGGTACAGGGCGGCGCCCAGGCGGTCCGGGGCGTCGCCGCCGACGCCGCCACTGCGGTTGCCCAGTGAGTCTAGCAGGAGGTTTGATGGTGCGAGGGTGGAGAAGTCCAGGAAGCAGAGCTTTGGCATCAGCGAGATGGAGGAAGGGGAGGTTGCGCCAGATCCCGAGACCAAGGCCCGCGCTGCTGCGGTGGATCACCGGAAGCAGATCGAGTTTTCTGGGCATGCCAAGGAGAAAGGACCGGAGCGCGGTGAGGTGAAAAAAGTGGAATCCGGTGTGAGAGGGGATTTAGGAGCTCATGGTAAAGGAGTGGCTGGTTCATCTGCTGCTCGCAATGCAGGGAGGGAAGAAGGGAAGATCAAGGATAGTATGATTGCAGAAGCAGGAACGGTAACTCATACAAGGCATGAAAAATCCACCTCAGATGCCGCAGTATCAACGGGGAGAGGACATGAGGTGCAAGGGCAAGATGAGGCTGCCAATGCTCTCAATCAAGTTGGACAGTGCGTTTCATCCAGTGGAAGTCACAAGGTGCCACAGGAGGAAACGATGATACGGGATGAGGCTGCCAACGTTGTTGATGCGATTGGGCAGAGCACTTCGTCTGATATCCAGCAGGAAGCTGTTTGTGAGAAGGCGGCTGTACGAGATGAAACTGCTAATGCTGCTGAGGAAGCTGGGCAGAGAACTTCATCTAGTGTACATGAGGAGGCTATTCATGAACAGGCAACTATACGGAATGAAACTGCTAGTGATGTTGATGAAGCTGGGCAGAGCACTTCATCTAACATCCGGAAGGATGCTATTCAGCAAAAGGCGACTATACGAGATGAAACTACCAATGCTGTTGATGAAGCTGGGAATGGCACTTCATCTAGCAACCAGGAGGCGGCTATTCAGGAAAAGGTGCCTGTACAAGATGAAACAACCAACGCTGTTGATGAATCTGGGCTGGGCACTTCATCCAGCATACATCAAGGACTTCAGGAGGAAGCGATGGCATTAGATGAAGCTGTTGATGCTGCTGATGTGGTTAGGAAGGTCAGTTTGTGCGGTATGCATCAAGAAGCTCTTCTGGGGAAAACGAGAGATCAAACTGCCAATGATGTTGACAGGGTTGAATGTAGTACTTCATCTGGTCTTCTGCAGGTGACACCACAGGAAGGAATGGCATCAATAGATGGAACTGCCAATGCTGTTGAGCCAGAGAAGATTGATTCTGATATGTTGAAGGAAACGATTGAAGGAGAGCTGGTGCTAGATGGAACTGCTGATGTGGTGGGAGAGGGAAATTCACCTAGCACTGTAAAGGAAGCAATGCATGGAAAAATAACTGCAGAAGACGGTTGTCCCAGTAGTGCTCTTGAAATAGCTAAAAAGTGCAAGCAGTCGGCTATTACAGAGGAACTGGTACATGAAAAGGTGGCGACCTCTCCAAGCCAAGGGGCCCCAGAAATGAAAAAAAATGAAAAAGGTACTATATCCAGCAAGAAGATGAGTGAATCATTTGAACCTGATGCGTCTCAACATGTGGAAGAGGCACTCCCGAGGGATGGCCGTGAAAATATAGTTGCATTAAGTGATACTGAAGTCCCAGAACAAGAGGCAGCTGCTGAGAACAAAACTATCGAGAAGGAAGTAAAAGGTTTTTGTTTGGAAGCAAACTCAGTAGGTGCTAATGTGTTCCTTCAACCAAGCAAGGAATGTAATGGGGATAGGAAGGAAGAGGGTACAGCTTTAAATTTAATTATGGGGAAACCTAGTGCTGAAGATAAAGGAAAGGGTATAGCATTTGATGTCCTTAGTAAAGAAGAAGACATAGGGGTAGGAAGTTCAGTAGGAAGATCATTTGACTTAGCACTGCAACCTGACATTGACCGAACAGAGGTGCTAAAATCTAGTGGGACTGTTTCTGTAAAGCAGGAAGATGACACACCTAAGATAGGGAGGCTTGACCTTTCACTTAGCTTATCAGGTTGTTTACAGAATCCTGAATTCAAATGCTCAGTTCCCAGATCTGAATCTCTAGACCTTGCAACATGCTCCCAAATGTTGCCATCATCATCGTTCCGCACAAATTCAGAAGGGTTCACAGGTTCTGTATCATTGACCAATTCTCAAACATTTGTTCACAATCCTAGTTGCTCACTTACCCAACAGTCATTAGACAACTATGAGCATTCAGTCGGCAGTAAACCTTTATTTAAGGGTGTTGATAAGTTGAGCGACAGCACAAGATGGCAAGCTCAGTTGTCGAATGAATCTACTAAGAAGAGGGAACCTACCGCAGTTCTTCAGAATACAGTAAAATATGGTAATCTGCCAGACAAGACCTTTCTTGGTGTGAATGTGCAGAACAATGGGATTTCCAAGGACATTCACAGGCGCGCAGGGATCTCAGGTGTTTTGTCGCCAACTCATAGTCGGGATTCTCATGATTCAGGATTTGAACAAAGTAGACATAGAAGGCAGCTCACAAGAGAGAGAAGCAGCAGCAGTCTTACAAGGGGTGAGCGGCAGGATGGGCAACAACTTGTCCTTAATGGTGCTGGTGTCATCGAAAGGATTATTTCCAAGATAGTATCAGAACCTTTGCATCATACAGGAAGGATGCTTGACGAGATGACAAGCAATTCTGTAACATACTTGAGGGAGGCCATTTCTGATATCATAGCTGATGCGGATAAAAGAGGGCAGGTGGTAGCATTGCAGGAGGCACTTAAAAAAAGGTCTGACTTGAATAGTGAAATGCTGCAAAGGTGTCCACGCGTATTGCTGGAGATACTCGTTGCTATAAGAACTGGTCTTCCAGATTTTATGAAGAAAAGTAATAGCATTGGTACATGTGATTTGGTTGACATTTTTCTGTATTTGAAATGCCGCAATCTCTCATGCAAGAGCATTCTACCAGTAGATGATTGTGATTGTAAAGTTTGCCAACGGAAGACTGGTTTCTGTAGTTCTTGCATGTGCATTGTCTGCTCAAATTTTGACATGGCATCTAATACATGTAGTTGGGTTGGTTGTGACGTATGTCTTCACTGGTGCCATACTGATTGTGGCCTGCGCCACTCTCTTATTCGGAAGGGGGGAAGTGGCTCGAGGGCATATAGTACTAATGAGCTGCAGTTTCATTGCGCTGCTTGTGGGCATCCATCAGAGATGTTTGGTTTTGTGAAGGAAGTCTTCCGAACATGTGCTATGCAATGGAGGATGGAGACTCTGGTTAGGGAGCTTCAGTACGTAGAAAGAATTTTTTCTTCAAGTGATGATGCAAGGGGAAAGAGAGTCAGGGACTTTGTAAAACAGATGATAATTAAACTGGAAAACAGGGCCTATCATCCTGAAGTAGTGAAATATATCATGGCGTTCTTTTCTGGTAAGCTACTAATCATAGTTCATAATAAAAAAAATAATAGTTATCATTTTCATGCTTGATAAAGATGTTTGTTTTTTGTTTTGTTGTCCTGTAAGATATTTTATATTTCTGGAAATAGAAATAAGATTTCTATATTTTACACAATGCTATAGCAGAAGTATCAGCTATATTGGCAAAAAGATTATGTGATCCATGTTCTGATATCATGTTGTTATATTAGAGATGCTAATGGTCTTTTGGCAATAAAACCAGGCTAATGCTCGATTTTCCCTGTTCTAGATGACAATTCTAACGCTGGTAGTGGTACATCAGTACCACTGAAGGGCATTCCATGCAACATTGCTGAAAGAATAGATGGGATTCCTAGTTCAAGTCGAAAGGCACCATCATGGCTACCATCGGTGACCCTGGAGGGAGTTCCATTTTTAGAAAAACAAGGAGTAATTTCAACCACCGGGAGCCCATTAACGCTTAGAAAATTTGGCGGAACTGACTTCCAGACAGTTGATAATAAGCCTACTGTTGATGAACTGGATGCCCTAATCAGGTTAAAGCAGGCTGAAGCAAATATGTACCAGCAACGTGCCAATGATGCACGCAAAGAAGCTGAGACTCTGAAACACGTCACCATGGTTAAACATGCACAAATAGAGGAACATTATGCTACTCAAATAGGTGAACTCCACATAAATGAGTTACAAGAGCAACGCAAAAGAAAGATTGAAGAACTGCAAGTCATTGAAAGGACACACCATCGATTTCTCAGCATGAAAACAAGGATGGAAGGTAGTATTAGGGAATTATTGTTGAAGATGGAAGCAACAAAACAAAATTTTAGCACATGAGCCAAGATAACAGCTCTGGGTTGAAGATACCAGGATTTACTCAACTTGCCTAATGAAGGTTCCATGTGATGTAAGTTCTAAGACTTACTGCACGATTATCAATTTTCTAGTATTTTGATATAGTTTATGTTTCTGTTGTTTTATTTAACAATCTGTTATTGAGTTTTGATGATGTGCAATAAACTTTAGCTGTTACAGTATATACTTCACTTTTATTTACTGATCTGCTGTTATAAGTCTGTGTGGAGTTAACTGTTTTTGTGGCTTTAGACTTAACAGTCAAGACTGAAGACAATGACCTATGACTTATTGTGCGCCAATTTGGCACTGGCTTTGTTCTTTTGCATACTTATCTTTAGGTGCACCGCATCACATCCCTTAATTGAAAATAAGGGGAAATAGTGACGTTTTGGAGTTTATCTTGTTTACAGGAGGGCAGTTCTTATCATCGTGGCGTGCCTTACTACATATCTGGACAGTTCTTATGGAAGGGTGCTAGACTGCAAATCTGCAACTTTAAGCATCACAATGAAGATGAGCATGAATGTTCTCTTATGAGAACAGGCGAGTGGATCATAATCGTTGCAAAACCTGTTTGGTCAAATACAATTCTGAATCCAGTATGGATTGTTGTTGCAAGGGAGAACACAAACTGAAGCACAGTAATCAGGCCTGCAAGGTCCTCGAAGCAGAATTTCAGAACGTAGCTAGACAGCATCTAAATTATGAATTGATGTTGGCAATAGTATAGGTAGGCATGAATTATTTCTCGTATGTAAATTATGATAAGGTTTATGGTTCTGATCTTCAGTGAGAAGATGCATTACCAGTTTCCTTTTTTTTTTTATCTAAATTATGCAGCGTTTGTACGTCGGCCACGTACGTGCATGGGAATGCGCCGGCATGGAATGAGTGTGAAATGCAATCCGGAAATGTGTCGCCAGCCGCTCCTGCTGGGATCACATTGCTGATATACAGTATTGAACTGTACCCTCACCGTCACCGACTATATGCATAAAACCGTCGAATTTCAGAGCTCCAGAATTAAAATTTGGCAAAAAAAGGTGCAGATATATGGCATTCTGTTCTGCAAGTTACACTGAGGCGCCAACTCGTGTCAGGCTTGCTCGGAGAAACATAAAAGGATACAACTCATACAACAAACTACAAACTCAAGAAGCACTCCGAATTGAAATACTCGCCATTGCTTGCAGTACGTACAGAGCCGAAATTGCTACACTACCCTTAAGTTTGCATGCCGTCGCTAGCTGCTTATCGATCAATCTCACATGGCCACGCATGAGCTGATACATAGCATCGGTGTAGTTTCTCAACCGTGATTTGATCAGTGAGACAGTGACATATATATAGAACAGTTCAGCGACTAAATTAAACGGTGGCGCCGTTGCTCTTCCCGCCATTGGGGACGACGTGGTGTTTGTCGGCGTCGTCCATGAAGCGCTTCCAGAACCAGTGCTGCTTCCACACCCTCTCGGTCATCTCCTCGATGGGGATGTTCTTGGTCTCGGGCAGGAAGAAGAGCACGAAGAGCGACATGACGACGACCCACGCGGAGAAGAAGGCGAAGATGGCGTACTTGAGGTGGCAGAGCATGGAGAGGAACGCCTGCGCGATGACGAAGGTGAAGAGCAGGTTGACGCACACGGTGACGCTCTGCCCCGCCGACCGCGTCTCCAGCGGGAACGTCTCGCTGGGGATGAGCCACCCGAGCGGGCCCCACGACCACGCGAAGGAGGACACGAACGTGCACACCATCACCACCACCATGATCGCCCACCCGTGGCCGAGGTTGTCCGACCGGTCCGTCACCTTGATCCCCAGCACGACGGCGATGGCCACCTGCGACAGGAACATCTGCACGCCGGCCTCCAGCAGCAGCATCCGCCTCCCCACCCTGTCCACCGAGTAGACGGACACCAGCGTGGACAGCACGTTCACGGCCCCCGTGATCACCGCGGAGTAGAGCGACGCGTCGGTCTTGAACCCGAGCGTGTTGAACAGCACGGGCGCGTAGAACATGATGGCGTTGATGCCCGTGAACTGCTGGAATATCTGCAGCAGCACGGCGATCACCAGCTGCGGCCGGTTCCGGCGCTGGAGCAGGTTGCGGAACGGGTGCTTCACCTCCTGCGCCACGCGGCTCGCCTCCACGATCTCGTTGAACTCCGGCTCCACGTTGTCCGTCCCCCGGATCTTCCTCAGCACCGCCTTCCCTTCCTCCAGCCTCCCGCGCTCGATCAGGCTGTTGGGCGTGTCCACCACGAACAGCGCGCCCAGCGTCAGCAGCGCCGCCGGGATGCCGGCCAGCGACAGCGACAGCCGCCATCCCCACGGGTGGATCCTGCATGCGTACGTAAAATGATGCAGCTCATGTCAGTTCATCATCATACGTACAATGCATTGCATTTGTATCTGAATGTGTGTGTATGATGATGTGTGACGTACTTGGCGGTGCCGTAGTTGACGAGGTTGGCGAAGAGGATGCCGATGGTGACGTTGAGCTGGAAGAGGATGTTGAGCCCGCCGCGGATCCTCGTCGGCGCGATCTCCGACAGGAACAATGGAACGGCCTGCACGTATTCACCTCTGTTATTAAATTCAGATGGGCTTGACGAGGCCCATTAGGCCCAAAGTGACACTTGATTCGCCTTTGTTTAGCGTGCAGATACCTAGCTCATCATTCAATAGTAATAATAAACTTACAAAGGCACCAACTCTGCCAATAAATTCCCCGTGCGTATTTCTGAGTATAATAACAACCCAAGCTAGGTTAGGCGTTGAACCTAATACCTAATCACATGGCAATACGGCATGACCCTTGAATTATGTAGATAGTTTTGTTATTCAGAGAAGATAGTTTTTGTTATCTTAACCATAATCAAGGGGGCTGATCGGTAGAGGTGGAATTAACAAACCGTAGTAGTTGTACATATGGTAGTATTAGACTACTACTACGAGTACGATAGTGTCTGCTGACTGCTGCTACCACTCTAATGTTTGTTGAACCTAGGCCTCCATCAAAGTCTTGTTAGGTGGTGACTGAATAACTGATCACATGAACTCTGTCCTGTACTAAACCTCTTGCATATTTAGTTTATTGTCTTGGCAGCTTCATAATTGAGTCTAGACGTCCCATATGTTGGCGAGTGTGCGTAATATGTAAACTACTGTTTCATCTATTAGACACGAATAAATTCAGAAGAAGCCAAGCAAATTAAGTACTACTCCTACTCTCCTACCAATCAAGCACACTAGCAGCCAACTAGTACTTTGCAGCCCAAAACTCAGTGAACCAAACCAAAGGTCTACATATTGCGACCCGTGTGGCATATGCGTGGACAGCCATAGCAGCCTCTGCTTAAAAATCAAACCAGAGCAAGCCAAAGCTGCAACAGCATGTGTGTATTCCAAGCTGCATCCATTGAGGACTTGACAGTTGTGGCTGTAACTAGCTAGAAGTTGCTGTAAAGATCAGTCAACAAAGCTGACCAATCTCCAACAAACGTGACAAACACAAGTCTGTTGCTACACTACACAGGTCGATTCCTCCGTTGATAACAACTGCGACGGCCAGATAGCAGGCAGCCACACGCAAAACTACCGGCTGTAAAATCATGCACACCTATCGCCTCTTGGTTGGCTGCAACTTCTTCAGACGTCTCGACTACAAACTTGGACAACAAAAAATGGGTAATTTAGCCAGGTTCAGTAAGGATTAATTAAGAAGCGTGGCTAATCCTAAACTAGGAGAGTCACGAGGACATCGGAATCTTGGAACTTAAAAAGTTTATCACACGCATGCTGCTGCCAATGGAAGATGTCAACGTAGACGAACACAAGTCATGCACGATCAAGACTCTCTCGGCACCGGCCGAGGTGTCCATAAATCCATGTATATATATGCCCATACTTCTACGCGTTTGACCCCAAAATTACGGCAATTACGAAGGGCCCCGTGTTTAAGTACAGTACTAACTACCCCAGTATCCGACGCCATAAGAAATACGTATAAAAATATAATTTTTAGTAATGTATATGCTCGACTCGAGTATAAAAATTCTAATCAGGACGGTGGTTCATATAGGAGTATTAGGCAGGCAGGAACGCACGTCGTTTTCATGGAAGCAGAAAATTCGGCTTGCTTGTGATGCAAATTCTCAAACCAGCCACCGCTTTATATGTTTGACTTAAACTCTGTGCTAAGACTTTTGGACTCAAGTGAGTAGTATCAGTTTATATTAGTACTAGTCAATAATATATGGAATCAAAGAAGATGATGTTGCGAAGAAAGTACAGGACGAAAAAAGGAACATGGAAATATCCGTGCAAATTATGAGTGAAAACAATAGTATAAGGCGTAATGACTTTGTTTAACTCCATAGCTTATTATATGAAATGATATAATGCTGTAAGCCTGTAACGATAAGATTATTGGAAAGTTGCTTGCCTGGTTGGCAAAGCCGACGCCACAGCCGAGCAGGATCCTGCCGACTATGAGCATGGCGAGGTTCTGGGCGGCGCCGTTGAAGATGACGCCGACGATGAAGAAGACGCCGGCGATGAGCATGGTGAGGCGGCGGCCGAGCCGGCGAGTGGTGTAGGAGGCGAAGAAGGTGGCCGTGAGGCCGGCGAGGTACAGCGACGAGGTGAACAGCTGCAGGCCCTGGTTGTCATACTTGCAGTAGTTGCTCTCCTTGTCCTCGTGCTTCTTCTTCAGCACCGTCGGGAAGAACTCGCGCAGGAAGTCATCCATCGATGTCACTCCGCCTAACCAAGAAAAAGAAATTCACAAGATTTTCAACGGATATTATTTAGTTTCATAAGTCGTAAAGTTCGTCATCTATTGTGGCAAAAATGGCATGTATAAGTATGAACTTGGAATGTTTTAAAATGTTGTGTTAGTGCGCCATGGAAAAGGTTGAATCAGAGAGTGGATAAGATTTTTTTTCCGTTTTAATTGGAATTTATTGTCTTAGATGTAAAAAGGGAACATGGCCACACAAAATTAGGAAAGAAAGCTGAGAGAGTTGCAAGAAACGTGATCCGTGGATAAACAAATGCATTGACTTACCAGCCTGTCAAAGCAGGTGGCTAGCTCATAACACTCGATTCCTTCTCTAAAATAACATCTAAAAATTTTAATGCTTTGGGATCCTCAAGAAAATCATACTACTAGCTGGACTGTAGGAGCACTACAAGCCGGAAACTAATGAAAAAGGATAAAATTGCACCAAATGGACTCAATAAAATGGCAAGATCTTTTTTGATCCTCTGTAAATGGTAGGTATTTAATGACAAGGATAAAATCATCCGTTTCGCTTTAATCTTTGCGCTTATATGTGCTTATCCATAGCAAGATAACACAAATATGTAGACAGATCAAACCGATAACACACACGTGCAAGAGGAATCTCACTCAATTTCAAGCAGGAGACACCAATATGAATAATCGAGATGAACCAACTAATCAACAGAAGGACATCAAAGCCGGCCATGGCCATGTTCGGACATCGCCGGCGGCCGGCCGTGCGTAGATATATACCTGAGATACCGACGTCGTAGCCGAACATGAGGCCGCCGGTGGCCGCCATGATGCAGGAGATGATGACGATCGGCGTGATCTTCGCCTCGAACTCCACCCCGGACCCCGACACAGAGAACCCTCCCGCCATCTTGCCCCCTCTCTCTCTCTCTCGTCGTCTCTCTCCTCTCCGGCGATCTCCACTAGCTAGCTACCAAGAGCAAGCAGGAGATGGAGACGATGAACTCACAGGGCTCCAAGCCGCTCGCTATATATAGAGAGGGAGTGGGAGCCCGATCACACGGGGGGAGACATTTCAAACGCATCGGAGAGGCAGGATGCGGCCACGTGGCATAGGTGGGACCCACCGCCGGGTCGCCTCCCGGGCTGGCTAGCCGGCCGGTCAGCGACGGCTTTCCCGGCGGCCCACGGGCCGGAGGCTGGCCGTGCCGCAAGTCTGCGACTGTTGCATAAGCAGCACAAGACTTTCAAATCCCACTTTAATTTTTTTTGCTTATCCAAATTAAAACCTTTTTTTAAAGCTTTTTGAGCTCCTTTTGGAAAAGAGGGAGAGAGCAAGTAGGAGCAGCAGTTTGGAAATTTGGATATATAGTTGGATATATTGAAGTTTGAACGCCGGCCTTTTTGACGCTGGATGTACGGTACTACAGTATTGATTCCTGGCGTTAGGCGGGCCCGCATGTCAGTGCCTTGACGCTGGTTGCTGTCTTGGTACTGTACGGTGATGCTCACTTGAATCTTTGGCGAGCTGATCATGTGAATGGAGGACCTTGACTTGAATATTTGCTAAGGAAAATTAAGCAACATGTGCGATGGACATGGTGGAGTAGTAGTGTAGTACTATTACTTGGGAAATTGTGGTTCTGTGGAAAATGCGAGCTAAAGAAAATGACTTCTAGTTCGGCTAGTCGGCTTACCTAGCTTGTAATATTTTCCTTCTAGTAAACGTGGTATCATAGGGCACACCCCAAAATTTTACACCATATCACATGAAACGTTTAAACACTTGCATAAAGTACTAAATATAGAAAAAAAATAACTAATTGCATAGATTTCGACTACTTTGCGAGACAGATCTTTTAAACCTAATTGTTTCATGGTTTGACAATATGGTGCTACAGTAAACATGTGCTAATGACTGATCAATTAGTCTTAGTAAATTCGTCTCGCAGTTTACTAACGGATACTGTAATTAGTTTTTTTATTAGTGATCGAACACCCCATATAACACCCTATATAATACCCGATACGACACGCTAAAACTTTACACTTCTGCATCTAAACATTCCCATAGTACTATATTAGTAGTAGCTAGTGTAGATGACGGCGTTTAATCAGAACACAAGCAGTGGTGATTAGCCGCCGCTATTCTTGCCCAAGAGCTGCTAGTTTAGTCATCTTTGTATTGTTATTGGATTTGATCTACTCGTGATTCTCATTAAGATATGATTGTATAAGATATACGTACGTAGTACCGGACACAGTTGCTAGTAATAATTAATAGGTATCCGTTAATCAGCCATGTGTAGTTCATGAGAAAGAACAAAAAAAAAAAACCGTGAACACGAATTAACAAACGTGTGGTCTAACGGCCAGTCACTCTCCAAATAACCTCCGTACCTATGTCTACACAAATTTAATTTTGCTTCGTTCTTCTCTGCATATCAACGAATTGAACATCGAAAAATATTCGCACGCTCTCACTCTTGTTGAGTTCATACAACCGTATCATAGTCAAGTGGTCATGTCAGATCGATCAACTAATATTTGGCACCGTTTTGCAACTTACAATCTGCACGTACGTACTCTCCGTGCCTATGGGAATTTTCACGTAAGCCGATCGAACTGGGTGAACTCCTTGTCGTCGGAATCGTGCTGTGATACGATGTTTGACGCTTACCGGATGGAACTACTCCACTTGATCGACCATGAACTGATTGTGTACACACCGACAAATGTACTCAAGCCTCACGAATTAACATGGTGAAAATTTCCATGGAATTTCTTTCGCTGACGCTTGACGCGTGCACGATTGATCACAGCTCGATCCTTGGGCGCTGCATACACGAGTTGCCACCGTAAGGTACGTGACGATTTCGCGAGAAATCCTTCGCGTGGAGCAGTACTATTCCCCGGACTTGGAACACTCGAATACCAGCCACTCGAATACCAGCCGTATGCAGTCCAAGTCCGCGCGCGCACGTAATCGGTGTCGGTTTCATGCACGTAGATCACGGTGACACCGCCGTTTTTTATCCCGTGGTAAATTTTCCCAACGATCTCTGCATTTGAGATTGTTCGTGTGTTACAATTTCTAAAATAAACACCCGTCGCGATCGGGGCTTGAGCGGCAGATGGCAGGGAGGCAGGCGCGATACGTGCACGTGTCCAGGTTGGGCATGACTCCGATCCCCCGTGCGTGGCAAGTGGTGACGTACACGCGCTTTGCCCCTTGACACGTCCGTTAATTTCATCCTGCTTAGTTGACTTCTAATACTGCTTTGGACTTTTGGTAATTTCGGAGTTGTAACTACTAGTACCATCCACCGCACAGCTGTACGCGCAGGAACTGGCCGACTGGTTTTTGTGTGTGTGTATGTGTGTTTGGATTTCACCGTACTTGCAGTCAACTGTTGCTGGCATGCAATATATTTTTTTAAGTTGTTGTTTTGTTGCTACAGTGCCATTGCAAGTTTGCATTCTGCTTATAAGAATGACGTGAAGGAGCCATAGGACGTGTCGAGTAGTGTCCGTCTCATTGTTTCACTTATACTTATGTTATTTATGTTCGTACGGTTTACTAATAAAAGATTATGGATAAAAATTTTCACATATGTGCCCTTATTGATTTGATTGAAAAGCAAATGCAATAAAATAAATTACAAATGGAAACACTATCAAATCAAATATCTCTATTATTATAAAAATTGAAGATGTTTTTTGCCGGTACTTTGGTACGTCATCCGTGTATGGGTCGATTTTTAAATTTTTTCGCTTTTAGAAATACAGATCACATTTGAATCGTGTTTTAAAATTGTTTGATATTAGAAATATATAAGGAGTCGCATAAAAATCTCTTTTAAAAAACTCGCTTTTCTAGAAAAATATATATATCTAAGTGAATTCCCACAATGAATTTTATCTTAACTAAACCGTATAACAATAATAAGATTAAAAATAACCTTCACCCGTTTACAACGCACAAATTTTTTTTAGTAAAATTAAAAATTAAAAATTAAAACTTTGATTATAAGTATAAGTGAAAATGACGAGGCTGTGTATTAGGGTTGCATGCACTGGAGCAACACGAAACCGGGGGAGTTGACCCCGGAGACGAGGCAGGCGTAAGCAATGGAACTCTCTGATTGTTTGGCTGCTACGGCGTCTAGTAATGCCTATTGGTCAAAAATATATGCGGCCAACCTGAAGCAGATAATTGTTGATTCACACGGCAACATGTTGGTGCAGAGGGCAAGCAGGAAAAGGGGTCATTAGATTCTCGAAATTAGTTGTGGTGATCGATGCTTGCACCCAGCATACATCGATGCATTAGCCCATGATCTATACGTGCACGTTTTAGCCCGTTCTGTGATGCCAATTCGCCCTCCGGATGTCGCAGCCGTTACATATCACCAACCCACCAGAGCTTCCTTCTCGCATGACCGGTAGAAAGACCTGGACGAATTTGTGCAGGTGCATGACACATCACACCGCCTGTCGTCCTAAGGACGATGTGAGTTGTGACAGAGAGAGACAGTACGCCGGCCCGCCACTGGCCATTACTGAGAGCATGCTTAGGGAGCTTTTAACTACTACTTTCTCTCAGAATCAGAAACTCATTTAAACAGTTCAGCTTTTGATTCAGATTCTGAGGAGTTATAGTTGTAAAATTTAGAAAATAAACTAGAAGCTGGACAATCGAGTTTTTCTATATTGTCAAAAACTGACTATCAATCAGTTGTTTCTCAGTTTTTTAAGCTTCTCAAAACAAGCAATGAGGCTAAACAAGCATGTTGATTGGTGAACCGAGAACGATGGGCCGTGTATACAGGACCACGATTTGCACTGGGTTAGTCAGGTAGAAAGACTCTCCTGGGTCTGGTGGTTAGCAGTACAGGTGGTGGACCTATCAAGGAATTTCTGGTTAGATTTGCATGAATATCCTTTATATTTGGAACAAAGGTAGTAATAAAGGGGTGTTAAATTACATGTCACATCAGGTATTATATACGGTGTCGTATGTGGTGTTCGAGTACTAATAAAAAAACTAATTACAGAATCTGTCAGTAAATCGCGAGATGAATTTATTAAGACTAATTAATCTGTCATTAATAAATGTTTACTGTAGCAACATATTGTCAAATTATGTGGCAATTAGGCTTAAAAAATTTGTCTCGCAAATTAGTTGCAATCTGTGCAATTAGTTATTTTTAGCATATATTTAATACTTCATGTAGATGTTCAAACGTTCGATGTAACATGATGAAAAATTTTGGAGTGGGATCTAAATAAACCCTAACGCTGAGTTCTTATCTCTATTTATCCAACTCACCTCCCTCGTTTTTCGCGTGCACACTTTTCAAATGGCTAAACAGTGTGTTTTTTGCAAAAACTTTATATACGAAAGTTATTTTTTAAAAAATCATATTAATCCATTTTTTAAATTTATTTTAGCTAATACTTAATTAATCATGCGCTACACGTTGCTCTGTTTTACGTGTTAGGGAGGGAGGGTTTGTTTTTTGCAAAAACTTTATATATGAAAGTTACTTTAAAAATCATATTAATCCATTTTTAAAATTTATTTTAGCTAATACTCCCCCATCTACTTTTGATAGTCATATTTTATCTTGGCATAAGTAATTTTACTTATCATCTATTTAAACATGCTATTAGTCATTCCTTGTAAATAAGCGATTCATTAATATGTAAATTTCTCGATACCCATGTAGTCAATCTTGTGAAGAAGAATGGAGAGTCACACATTAAATCCGAGAAAGCTATTAAGATGATATGTTGTTGGATTGAAATATACCTATCAAAAATAATTTTTTTAGATTTGAAAATATTCCTATCAAAAGTAGATGGAGGGAGTACTTAATTAATCATGCGCTACATGTTGCTCCGTTTTGCATGCTAGGGAAGTGAGGGTTCCCAAACACACCCTTAAAGTATCTTTAGAGTTCTTTTTCCTTTCTACTCTTTGCATTTTCTCTCCTAGAGTCTCTTACGAGGGATAACTTATCCTCTCTCTCCTAATTACTTCTTTTCTCCATCTCATCATCTAAGTTTATATACTACTCCCTTCGTCCCATAATATAAGGGATTTTAAATTTTTGCTTGCACTGTTTGACCACTCGTCTTATTCAAAAAAAATTTGGAATTTTTTTGACTTACTTTATTATCCAAAGTACTTTAAGCACAATTTTTCATTTTTTATATTTGCACAAATTTTTTTTAATAAGACGAGTGATTAAACAGTGCAAGCAAAAGCTAAAAATCCCTTATATTATGGGACGGAGGGAGTACCATTTTAGGATTTGTGCTTAGAAGCTTATGTTATATTAGTACTTTTGTAACAAATATGATGAACACTTACGTTTGTCACTCGCCGTTGCTACTACATCTGAATGTAACAAATATGATGAACAGAGAACTCAGGGAAGGATATAAAGGAAAGCGATCAACACTGGGTTTAAGCCAGGTAGAACCTTTTGGAGCTAGGGCCGGTTCAATTTAATGCCATTTTCAACCTTACCAAGTTTTGATAAAGTTGCTAAAAAAATAGCTATATTTAGTTTGCTGCCAAAATTTGATAACTATATAAGAAATCTTGCCAAAATTTTGACAAGTTACCAAAATTTTAGCAACTATGCCAAAATTTTGGCAATGCTAAAATTTGATAAAATTTTTTTTAGCATTAAAGTAAACAGGCCCTTATATTTCACAAGCAACGGATTAGACACCTTTAGTTTTCTACTCTAGTGTTATACAAAGTGGAATACTCGAGTTCCGAACAGCCGGTAACATTGATTTATTCTATACACGCGACACACATTTTTTGTACAGAGATGACATTGGCACTCTTTATGTTTACATGTAAAAAGTCCGGCAAACAAGCTACTGAACCAAGTAACCATCATGACACGGTCGAACCACATATGCACGAACTACGGCACCGGATGATACGAGTCATACAACTACATTTTTTTTAGATAATGGAGTCATACAACTACATGCGACGATATGCAATTTCTCAAGGATGCAGCTTCTTCGGGATAGTAGCCAGGTCAAGCGTACTGCCATACATCTTGGCGAGAGCCTGTCCGCACCAGCCATGGCCATCGTCTAGCGTTGGCATCCTCACCTCAATGAACGGTGGAACAGCCTGGCCCTGAGGCTTGACGACGCCGGCGAATACCCTGAGGACATTGCCAGCGTCGATGTCCATGCAGACATTGATTTCGACGGTGCCCTTTGCTGCTGCTGGAATACCGGTGATCTTGAAGTATCCCAATAGATGGTTGTCTTCAGCCTGATTCCCTTCGCCTTCATAGACGGCAATGAGAGCTTCGGTCTGATTGTCGTGGGTTGTGGTAAAGAGCATGTCCCTTCTCGCAGGAACAGCAGTGTTCCTTGGAATGATTGCGGCGAAGTTACCGCCGTCAGCACGAATTCCAAGGTTCATTGGAGTTGCCTGAATTGTCAACAGATCCAGGCTCCCTGAAGGGTCAGATACTCCTGAGGCAATGGCTCCTTCCAAAGCAGCCCCTGAAACTGCAGCTTCAAGTGGGTCTATACCACTGTAAGAGTCGTCCTTCTTGCATAAGCCAAGGACAACGCTTCTGATTTTAGGAATTCTGGAACATCCTCCAACCAATATCACATCATTGATGTCCTCTGGTGTTAACTTTGCATCAGCCAGGCATTGCTTGATGATCCCTTCACATTTCTCAAAAATAGACTGATTCACCTTTTCAAATTCTCCACGGTCCAAGATCTTTGACACTTTGTGGCCAGCCCCCAAATCTACATTGATCTCCACATGCTCCTGCGTAGCCAGTTTGTGAATTGCATCCTGAGTTGCCATCCGGAGTAAGCCAATTGACTTGATTCTGTCCATTGTTTGACCAGCATATAGACTATCAAAATCAGGCATGAGATGGCGCATGACATTCTGAAGGATATCCTCTCCACCAACAGTGCTTCCTGAAAGTGCTCTTATCTGAGAAACACCTCCAGCAGTGGCAGCCACAGCAGCATCACAGTAGCCAGCACCCATGTTAAATATCAGAGCAATTTTCTCAATGCCACTTCCCATATTGTCATGTAGCAATTGCTGCTGCTGTTGGGCATACAAAAGTGCGATAGCGGTCGGCTCTGGCATGAGCCGTAACACATGCAGCCCAGCCATCGCACATGCTCTCTCAATCCTGGTCTGTTGAAACCGACTGAATGCAACTGGAATGGTAAGAACAGCATTCCTCACCGGATGTTTGAGATGCATCTCTACCAAGGCCTTCAATTCAAGGAGAAAGATGGCAAGAACTTCTTCAGGAGTGGTAGACCGCCACATATTGTTCACCAGTGCTGCAATGAATGGTCTCACCCCAATACCCAATGTCTGCACAAGAAAAGGAAGGCTCTTGCTAGCTTGAACCACTTCATCTGTGTCCATTCTCCCAATCAAACGTTTCATGTTAAATATGGCACTTCCTGACAAAATATCTCTTTCCTCATGTCCATGTTCCCGGGTTGCTCCTCCTGTAACTCCTGCTGAAAGGCTGTCATCTTTGAACATCACATATGACCTCATCCCTTTCTGGTTGCGAGTGTTTTTGAGGAGTTCAACCTGATGGCCAGTCCAAACGGCAACACTACAATTTGAGGTCCCAATGTCGATTCCAATAGCAACATCAGGAAACGACATCTGCGACTTATCTTCCCCAGTGGTTTCACTGTCAGATGCCACAGTGTATAATTGTTCAGTCATCCTGCAAACAATGCAGCGTCAGTATTGTGTACCTAACATTCTTCTTGTTCTAAAAAGGGAAAAAGATCTGGTTAATCCAAACTATGCCCGCCATTTGAATTAGTAGTTTTAAGGCCAAGGGTTTATGATAGTACTATTTTATTGCATTTGCAAAATGTAACATAAAAGTGTAAGCCAATACATAAGGCAAAAAAACAAGCAAGAAAACAGAATTCCAATGACACTCGATGAAACGGTGTGAAATCCTAGCAAACCAAACATGTCCATGACTCAGAAATGACCTATTCGAGCCATTTAAAGGAGCTACCCATGAAACTATTTCAAAATAAGCAATCCATTCAAGTGATATTTTCTGAATCCTAACAGTATTTCCTTTTCTTTTTTCAGGAGTCCTGACAGTACTTGTACATTTCACATACAGATAAAAAGAAATTCCTTTTTTTTTTCTGGCTCTGTCCTCATCCATGCATATCGGACTCACTTGATGCACCCGCGAAGGCAGCTTGAATTATAGATAACCAATTCGCGTATTTGAAACAAGTAACTTGTCTTGCAGTACAGTTGTATATAGTGGTCTCAACTCATGTAACTAGATGACACTATCCTGGATCGACCAAGGAATAAGATTGCTAAAAACCAATGAACCAAGTAATGAGTTGAGTTCTCTGCGACAAGACAAACTTAGGACTTAGTAGGTCACGTACTTCGATTCCACTGATTATGCCAATTTCATGCCTTGCCGGGGTTCAGGAATTTCTCCAACCTCTAGCACTGACAACAACACATCCAACATCAACGGGATAGGATTAAATGTCGGGATTTTCCAGTAGTAACACCTAGCTACTAGCTAGCAGACAATCGCATCGCATCGCATTAGGCTTCCATCAAGAGAAAGTATTCAGCGACCACAACAGGTTCACAGATCCGGGCTTACAGTTACAGCACTACGACGGGGAACAAACCGAAGCAGGTAAAGAAAACAAGGCAAGCGCAGGGTGTGCGGAGATACCTCGCCACTCGATCGTGCGACGGAGATGGCCACGAAATCCGGGACTCTCCGGGGCGGCGGTTGCTGGGAGGGAGTGCGGGCGAAGACGAAGCTTGGGGAGGCGAAGGGTGGTGGGAGCGAGCAGCTGGACTGGAGCCTTGAAGAAGGCGGAGGAAGAAAGAAAGCCGCGCCGGAGTTTTCCGGAGAGGACGGGAGGCGGCACGCGGCGCGCACGCCGACAGTGCGGAGCCGGGCTCCCGAAGCGTCGGGAAGCGGCGAGACGCCGCTGGAGAAGAAGCGTGGCTTCCGTGGGCCTGGAAATGCAGCGGAGATCTAGGCCCAGTGCACACGGCCCGGATACTAGACCAAATTTCGTATAGAAATAGGCCCATATGTTTTGGGAGGTACTTGGGGTTGGGCCGAACCCACGAACGCTCCGGGCTGTAAAAGTCCGACTAGTTCAGATAGCGTGCTGGGCTGTAAAAGTACTCCATCTGTCATCGTGCTGTGCAGATGCACGTTCGAAAGTGATGCTCCTGAGCTATTCGATGGCAGGGAAACTAATCTCGAGCGATTAACGCAATGATGATTAATTAAATATTAGTACATATAATATGTAATATGCTCGGACTTTGGCACATCTGAAAGCAAAGAATGGCTTAATATTTCAGAACGTTCAACCTTCCTTTCAAGCATGGAGATTTTTTTTTGTCAACGAAGTTCTTCTGTATATGTGTAGAATGAAAGATCCTTTAAAGCAAACTGTTTTTAATTGGTTACAAACCTTATAATCTTCCTATGTGACCCTCGTGTAACTCTGTAATCTTGTAAATATTTTCTTTCTTTATAAAATTATACTGCTGGACAAAACCCTGGCAGTATTTCCGGTCAAAAAAAAATATGCTCGGACTTGGATTTAACGTCGTTTTCTGTAATATGGCATGTTCTGTAGTTTGTGTTACTCCCTTTGTCCTCTAATATAAGGGATTTTGACAATTTTTCTCGCGCTGTTTTATCATTCGTCTTATTTAAAAAAATTAAAATTATTATTTATTTTTTTTACTTACTTTATTATCCAAAGTATTTTAAGCACAACTTTTTGTTTTTTATATTTGCATAAATTTTTTGAATAGGACGAGTGGTCAAACAATGCAATCAAAATATCAAAATCCCTTATATTATGGGACAGAGACAGTAGATACTATTATGTAATAGTTTAGAAATTTGTTACGTATTTGACTAGGTCTTCCTTTGTAACTAACCCTACCTCCCAACCTATATAAGGATATAATCATAACTCGATTGTATACATACCTAGCGGATTCAATCACCGAAACAGGACTAGAGTATTACTTATTATCAAGAATGGTTGAATCTGTTTAGACCTTGTCCCTTTTACTCATACTCCTTAGATCTCGTACTATACGCTTTTTTTTTTATCGTTGATCTAGAAAATCGACAACGGGTTTATTTGAGTCTTTTTAATAAAATCCTACCGTCCTACATAGAACTTTACTTCAAACACACACCTTTTATAAGTTTAAAAAAGTGTGCTGATGATAATCAAGGGATTAGCTCATCCTAACAGAAAAAAAATAACGGGGCCTAACCTAACGCTTACACTAACAGCATCTGGGACACATTAAGCTCGTGAGAATTCTTAAGGATGTTTTAGTTTAGTGTTGTTTTGGTTTGATGTCAAATTTTGCTCCACTAAACTATTGGTATTTTAAATAGTGATTTAGAAAGGTTTGGACTGCTGCCAAAAGTTACCAATACATATATAAATTGTAAAAAACTTATCCGAGTTTTAGCACTATAATATATTAAGTACTTTGAATAGTAATACGGTAATATTTGGTTAGCTGTCAAAATATGCCAATCAGCCATATAATATGCTAAAATATTGGTTTTGGTATTGTTAATATTTTGATACGATAGTAAACCAAAACAATCCTACATCATATAGTACAACGGACACCTTGTCAAAATAATCTAGCCTAAGTTGTTAGCCCACAAAATGATGACCACATCTTAGGCAAAATTTTACTGGCAAATTTTAGTAAAATTGTGAGCAAATATATCGCTAGTGGGTCTAAGAGTGAAAAATCCGTGGCACATTACAATTGTGGGAACAAACAAGCGTTTCATAAAATGTGACAAAGTTTCATAAACTGTCATAGGCTATCAAACAACCCAGTTGGACATAATTAGGAGGGAGATGGAGATGTGCCCCATAATAACATTTTTTTTGAACGACTCGCACGAGACGGTGCGAAGTTCTATTGATAAAGCAGGAAAAAATTACAAGATTAAAACCCTGTAGGGTCGTAATCAGGAAAAAGAAAAAATATACCACCACCCACACACCGACATCGCCAACACACAAGCCAAGGAGAAGGCTAGCACCGGACCGGCCGCCGCTAAGCGTGACCGACCGCTACTAGACCAACAAAGGGTCCCAGACAAGATCGCCTCCTAGGGGATGCCAAAACGACGTCTTCAAGAAGAGAAGCGAGGGAAAAGCCGCCGCCGTCCGTCCGTCGGGACTCAAAGGAGCCAAGACTGGGTTTTCGCCCGACAAACACCCTTGAGGGGTGAGACAGCACGACAACGCCCTTAGGAGGGGGAATGAACCATCGTTGTCGGTCCGGCCAAGGCCGGACTGAGTTTTCACCCGCCGTTCACCACCTGCAAATCCACGACTGACGCACCGATGCCCTACCACCACAGAAGCTCTGCTGACCTGTGGGACCCCTGCACCGGCGTCCCCTGCCGGCCAGCCTTCGAGCGCCGAAGATCGCGCCACACCCACCGGCAACTCCTCCTCACACCTAGGTCGCCTCCTCCATCGCCGGCCGCGCCTCTCGTGCCAAGCCGGCCTTCTCCACCGGACGTGCCTCTCGCGCCAATCCAGCCTCCCTCCATCTGTCGCGCCTCTTGGCCAAGCCGGCCTCCATCTCCGCCGTCCGCGCCTCTCGCGCCGAGCTGACCTCCGCTGCCATCGGCTGCGCCTCTCTGCGCCAAGCCGGTCTCCGACCCTCCACCAAACGATGCCGCGGCGGCCAAATGTAGCCGTCTCCCACTCCCTCGGCTAGCCATCTGAGGCCATCATGCCTCCGGTGACCGCAATTACGGCCACCACCACCACAGCCGCTGCTGTTGAACGCCTAGCCACCTCGCCGTCGCCATCCTCACCGCGCACCTCCACTTGCTGCCACCAGCGACCCGCATCTGCCGACATCGCCAGCGCCTCCACAGTCACAGCCGCCGCAAATCGGCCGCTGTCACCGCTGCCACTGACGCCAGCCACTGCCAGCGGCCGCTTCGCTGTCGTCGTCCGCCACGTCGCCGCCAAGTCCTCCATAGGCGTCGTCAGCCGACGCCGTCGCCGCCAACTGCCGCGACCACCACTGTCGCTGCCGTCACCAGCCGTCGCAAGTCAGCCGCCGTCGCCGACGACCACCGCCGGCCACCCTCCAGATCCAGCCAAGAGGCGCAGATCTGAGGGAGACCGCCGCCGAGCACCGCGCCGCCGCTGCGTAGGGACCACCGCAGCCGCCTTCGCGCCCGCCGCAATCGCCATCCCCGCCGCCTGCAAGCACCAACGACCGGCGTCTGCGAGCACCATCGGCCGGCACCGCACGTGCCTGCCCCATAATAACATTAGTTATTTATCTTTTCTTGACTCATTAACCGTTTGATTGTTGGCAGAGACCGAAACTTTAAACCATTTCTATGACCCCAAGAGGGATGTTGGTAACCAAACAACCTCTAAACATTTTGCCGATGTTTGATGGGCAGCAATGTTTTTTTCCTTCCTTTTTTTTTCGGTGATCGATAGTAGTAGTAGTACGTAGTTACCTTTCACCGGCAGAGAATCCCCAATACGAACGACGATGACTCGAACAAGATCTAATGATAAGCTCCCTTAGCTCGCGACTGGTGCTCTGAACAATCATCATTCGCAGCTCAAGCTTTTCCACACCAAGAAAATTCAAACACGCCTGCTCACAGCTCATACAGAAGACGACCCGGACCGAAAATCGTATCAGCTAATCAATCATACTACCCGGATACCCAAATGACACCACCCACTGCACCCCTCCTTTCCCTTTCAACGCCAAGCTGCGCCAACAATAATTACCACGCCGCGAAAAAAAAAATCACCGGACGACCGACCGGGATACCAGACACCGCACATACGCGCGCGGTACGATCTCCACTCAGTACAACACATCCAGCAGGAAGTACTCCCTCCGTCATATAAGAGATTTTAATTTTTTGCTTGTAACGTTTGATCACTCGTTCTATTCAAAATTTTTTAAATTATTATTTATTTTATTTGTGACTTACTTTATTATCTATGTTACTTTAAACACAACTTTTCGTTTTTTATATTTACAAAAATAATTTGAATAAAATGAGTGGTCAAACGTTACAATCAAAAAGTCAAAATTCAAATTCCTTATACTGTGGGATGGAGGGAGTAGCAGTGGTACTGTACCACTGGTAGCATCACCCAGAAAACACAAAAGCTAGCTAGCATCATTGTACCGGCTCGAGCACGGACACGGCCCCATCTTTTCCGCGCTTATGCCGCGCTGTGCCGACGGCCGCGGCTCCCTGCGACGCGCCGTGGCATCCGTCGTCGTCTATCGGCCTCGCCATGCACGCGCGCGCGCGGAGCGCCGGGCCAGTATCAGCGAGAGGGAAGAAACGCCCCCTGGCCACGCGCGTGAAACTCGCAGAGACGATGGGTAAAAGGAAAACGCTGTATCAGCGCGCAGCAGGAGCCAAGTTGCCAATGCCGTCGTCTGCATGGTAGCCGCAGCCGCGGCAGCGACGCGAGACGTGGAGGATGCCAGCGAGCGTCCGCGCTTGCGTTCGTTGCAGCTTGTTCGGAACCCCCTCTTCCTCGTTTTCCACGCGTACGTTTTTTAAATTATTAAACGGTATATTTTTTAAAAAAATATATATATACGAAAGTTATTTAAAATAATCATATTGATCTTTTTTTTAAAAAAATAGCAAACACTTAATTAATCACGTGCTAATGAAATATTCCGTTTTCTGTGCCAGAGGGTAGCGTTCCCAACCTCCCACGCAAAAACTTTTCACCCTGTCACATCGAATGTTTGGACAAATACATAGAGTATTAAATATTAAAAAAAACTAATTACACAGATTACGTGTAAATTGCGAGACGAATCTTTTAAACCTAATTGGTTCACGATTTGACAATATAGTGCTACAGTAAATATTTGCTAATGACGGATTA